ACACTCATTAAACATTACATGTGAATAATTGTACAGGTGTACACCTCACCTGTTATATACACAAATTCTAAACTCATTGAATTCTGTGTGTGAATACACCTATTGTAGCAGTGGAAGATTCAGTGATCAGAGAAACAAAATATTTCATTATTCATTCTGTATTTTAAATGTCTGCAAATAAGTGCTTTGGAACTGGTTCAGGGATATATTGGTAGGCCTGATATAATTTGTTCCTTGGGGATACATACTTACCCTTTGATGAATAACTGTTTCCACATATCCTGTAGTAAACAACACTGTGTTCATTTGGTCTCTATCATGAAGAAAAGGATAAAGGACTATAATGTTCTAGGCTGCTGCCTTCTTCATTCACCTAATATTTACACTGAAACTTTTAAAACAGTATTAACTGCTCTCTCACACACCTATGTTCAGCCAGTTCTCTTCTGTGGGGGTGGTAAGAATCCAAGATAATGAAAACCTGAAAGAAACTTGAAAAAAACATTAATATTGCTGAGGATGGACCCATTGCTTAATTTTGGCAATTTGGAAATATATGTTTGTTTTCGGTTTTATCCCTGCAGCTCTCTGAAAGAGGCAAGGCAGAAAAAAATGTAGCTTAATTAGACTATGCTTCATGAATTACCTTTTATTTTGACAAACATATCAATGAAAATAAGAAGGGGAAACCGATAATGAAGATTGGGGTTTCATTGGCACCCTATGGGTGCAAGTTACATCTGTAGAGAAAAGAGATAAAGCCTTATTGCTGAAGACCTGAGAGAGGTGGGAATGGTTCTATTTTCTCTTCTGCTTCTCTTGCCATCACTGTTTATGTTCCATCCACTTTTTTCCTCTGCTTCCTCATTCTCTTTGTTCTGTTCTAAAATTCATTCCAGCAGTGTCACTACTGGTAGAAGAAGTGAAACATACTGAGATAATAATATGTGTATTTATTTTATTAAAATATTCCAGCGGTAAGAGTTTAAAACAGAAGCTGGGGGCATGTTGGATGAATTAAATAATAAGAGTCAGGTTATCAATTAGTGCTTTTCAATACCATTGATTTTAAACTGGAACATTTAGGAAATTACTCGCATGTCTTGCATTTGAAATTAATGGGTGATAAACATGTTTAACACTCTCTAAAGTGTTTTATTTTATTTATTTATGTTTAAAAATGAAATATTGGCCTTATTGCACATTTCTATTGTGTAATTTGATAGAGGGCAAATGTTTTGCATTCATGAAACATAGAATTCCAGTTTTGGTTCTTTCAATACTTCTCTCTTCCCTTCTTTCCCTTAGTTTAAGCAAGCATAATTGATTTCTCGCAGTGCGGGAGGCAGTGGAGGACAGAAGTGCCTGGCGTGCTCTGGTCCATGGGGTCACGAAGAGTTGGACACGACTAAACGACTAAACAACAACAACAACAACAAATTGATTTCTCCATGCATGGTCCGACTGGGAATGCCATATGGACTCTTCCATGCTTCTCAAACTCAGTTTTCATGCCTGTCTTATCTTATCTAAAATTTCAGAGTGGAAAAAGAATTTGTCTGCCCAGCTGCTACCCATCTCTCCATTTCCTCAAGTGACTGTTTCAGCAGCACATCACAATGAGGAACCAGACAAGGATTGTAACTGAATTCATCCTCTTAGGTTTCTCTGATACTAAGGTGGATGAACCAGTACTCTTCACTTTATTCTTCATCACCTACACTGTTGCTATGGTAGGCAACTTTATCATTATTACCTTGGTGTGCTGTGAGAACAGCCTTCATAGCCCAATGTACATGTTCATTGCCAACTTGTCTATTTTGGAGGCTCTCTACACCACCACAGTTATCCCCAAAATGCTAGTCAACTTCATGAGTCAGAGAAAATCCATCTCCGTCCATAGTTGTATCTTGCAAGCCTACATTTTCTTCTCAGCAGGTTCCAGTGAGTTTTTCCTTTTGGCTGTCATGTCGTTTGACCGCTATCTTGCCATTTGCAACCCACTGAGATATGCAGCCATCATGACCATGCGCCTTTGCCTCCAGCTTATTGCTGCCTCCTGGATGTGGGGCTTCTTTGCAGTCCTACCACCTACAATCCTGATAGGCCAGCTGCCATTTTGTGGACCCAATGTCATTAAACATTTCTTTTGTGATGTTGACCCCTTACTCAAGCTGGCCTGTTTTGATGTAAGGAAAATTGAAATGATTGATTTTGTAAGTGCAGCTTTGCTGCTTCTGGGCTCATTACTGGTGACAAGTTTGTCCTATATCTTCATCATTGGAACAGTGCTTAGGATCCCTGCAGCCAAAGGACGACAGAAAGCATTCTCTACATGTACTTCTCATCTAATTGTGGTGACACTCTACTATGGGAGTTGCATTTTCATGTATGTTCAGCCACAAAAAAATCACTCTTTAGACCTGAACAAGGTAGTCAGCATACTGAACATAGTGGTAACTCCATTGCTGAACCCTTTCATTTATAGTCTGAGAAACAAGAAAGTCAAGGAGGCCCTGAAACATCTTGCCAGGAGAAAGACTTCCCCCTTAATTAAGCTCAGATTTCTGAAACAGGAAAATGGACCTATGCACTGTGTAGTATTAAATAATGGAAGTTGATAAAGGTGGGGAGGTTGGTGAGAAGGTGTACACACATCTACAAGGGTGGAAAAATGGTTCAGCTGAATTTTCTAGATGTGTAGATCATTTTCCTGGGAAACATCTAATCTTTGTTACTGTTTGAAATCTCTAACAAATGTGGTGTGGTGGAGCTTCTGGCTTTCAGTGAGGCGATATTCATTAAAAAATTTACTCAGTGATGAATCTCACAGGACAGTCTTTGAACAGATACTGTCTTACAGTCTCAGCTACCTCAGAGAGTTGGTTTGAAAACAGTAACACTATAATCCACTTTTTTAACTTTCTGAGTTCCTGTGAAAAGGGGCATATAGCTGTTATTAATAATTTTGATAATGATGAGGCTGAGAATGACCTGAAAACTCTATTGTGTGAGTCTCAGATGAAGAAAATGTAACCTCAATATAAAATGTTTTACTTGGTTAATGACAATTATGCAATTGCATTTCTGAGAGACATCAATTTTACGATTAAATTTGTTTGTTAACTATAATTTTCCAACAAACATTATTATCATACTGTATCCAGCTGTGAATTTCATGAAGCTAATTGTGATAAACTTTAATTGTTATGTTTGAAAACTTAAGCAACAATTCAGTTTTTGGTGGTTACACAATTCTCTGTTGTAGAGAGATTACCATCAGTCACAAATAAATGGGATTCACACACACAGTGTGTTTGTGTTTGTGTGTGTGTGTGTGTGTGTGTGTGTAATGCTTCTATTATGGTTCCAGCAAGTCATGTCCTTGCCCTATTCCAGGATATCCATTCAATCCCTTCCAGTGTTCTGGTTTTCTACTCTTCCTGAAACAGTCAGGCAGCATTTGGTACCAATTTCTCTCCCTCCCTGTCTCTTTTACAAAACTCACACACTCTCTCACAAACTACAAACCCAGGGATGCAGATATCTCCCTACTGTGCCTGTTTGGTACTATTTGGGCTATGTAAGTTTTTACACAACTGGAGAATGCCACGTATCATTATGATATGGCTGTTTCATCGCACCTTTTTATGAAATTGAACTGGGGTCATATAGAGAGGGCATGCTGACATCCTGATGCAGGGAATGGTGATGTTCTAGTATTTTGTGCAGTATGCACATGTATTAATAGAAGTAAATATACAGGCAAGTAAATGAGAAGAATTAATTTCTAAAATTCTGACTTCACAACCTGAATCTGCATTAACTATTACTTTCAAGTTTCTGATCCTTTTGAAACACACACATTATTTCACGTATTCCCTCCTGATGAGCTTTAGAGACTACCTGAGAGTCTCCAGTTCTACTGAGAATGTTTGGTAGTCTCTTTCCCAATGTCTTTTGCACTCTTGGGACCACAGATACAATGTGTGATGCCACCTGTAGGCTGCAATGCATTTATTAACAGGCTCTGTTGGGGGAAAAGTGAGCTTCTGAGGATTTCAGTAGGGCAAATTGAACACATGGCATATCATCGGGGTTAACCTGAATGTTCCCTCAACCTGTTCAGTACCTATTCATATTTTGCAACCTCATGTCATCCAACTGAAAGGTAAAAATTAAGCAGTTCATAATTCTTGCCTTCCTTGTTCCTGCCTGCACTTAACCAATGAGTGCCTTTCGCTCTCACAATCAAAATAGTTCATGTATTTTTCTTGACATTTCTTTCCATTTCTATTAAAATAGAGGGTTGGGGGTGGGGCATGGGGCACTGAATTTTATTTCCATGCGAGGACAGGATGAATGTTGCCATTTGATTCACACAGTTCCTAGACCCCTGCCTCCTACTCCAAATATGTGATGAGAATTGATAGCAGTTATTTGTGTCTGGGGAAGGAAAAGTAGGACCTTCTAATCTAATGTGTCCATCCCCAATCAATACTACCACAGCATGATAAACTGCTCTTCACTGAGCACTATGTGTGTGCCATGAGATTCAAAGAATTTAACTTCTATTGTAGTTCTAATGATTTGAGAGACGGGTATATTGGATAAGCTTGGTATGGGGAGAGCGGGCAGCACTATGCTGTTCTCTGGTATTAAGAGATGATGAAACTTATCTCTCTCCCCCCTTAAAACTTTAAATCCATTCAGTTATTGTTAATGGGGAGGAAATAGGGGGTGGGGGGCAACACCCATGTCAAAATTATGACATTTTCTTCCCCCCAGATCAAAAGTAGCCTTTTTAAGGGGGGTATATGAGTAACAAAAAGAGAATTCTGCCTTACTAACTTTGGTTATGCTGCCTGTTTTTTTGTAGGGCAAAATGTATTAAGGACAAAATGTACAATGAAAGCACCATTACGGAATTCCTCCTCTTGGGTTTCTCTGAAGTTTGGGAGATACAGCTTGTATATTTTGTGATCTTTCTACTGATCTATATGGCAGCATTGCTAGGGAACATCCTCATCCTTGTGGCTGTGGTCACAGATCCCCATCTTCACAATCCCATGTACTTCTTCCTGGCAAATTTGTCTGTTATGGACCTTGGGTACATCTCAGTCACAATACTAAAAGCCATGGCTAACTGTCTCATGAACACCAGGTTGATATCTTATTCTGAGTGCATTGCTCAAGTCTTCTTTCTCTTTTTCTTCATGGCATCAGACTTTTTCCTCCTCACAGTCATGGCGTATGACCGGTATGTTGCCATTTGTGACCCATTGCATTATGAAACAGTAGTGAATAAGGAAGCCTGCATCCAAATGGTGACTAGTACATGGATCAGTGGTCTCCTTTATGCAACATTACACACTGGAGCCACCTTCGCTGTTCCTTTCTGTTCCAACACCATCAATCAGTTCTTCTGTGAGATACCTCAACTACTTAAGCTCTCTTGTTCTGACTTGTACCTTGTTGAAGCTGTGGCTCTGGGCTTGAGTGCATGTCTAGGACTCGGCTGCTTCAGTTTCATAGTTGTGTCCTATGTGGAGATCTTCAAAACAGTGTTCAGAATTCCTTCGGCACAGAGTAGAGACAAAGCCTTCTCTACTTGCATTCCTCATCTCAGCGTTGTCTCCTTATTTCTTTTCACTGGCATCTTCGCTAACCTAAAACCAACTTCCAACTCCCTGGCAGGTCTGGACAGTTTAGTTGCCATGGCTTACTGTGTCCTTCCCCCACTGATGAATCCAATAATTTATAGCATGAGAAACAAGGAGATCAAAGCAGTGTTGTGGAAAATCTATGGCAGATCCTGGAAAAAGCATACCAAAGGAAAATGTGGCTGTATAGGTCTGTGGCATAATATGCAAACAGGAACATCTACTCCCTGAGTCAGATATGGAAGTTTCTGACTGGCACATAGTACACAAGATGATTTGAAGCAGGGGCGCCACATATAGGGACTGGAAGGGGCTTTGGCCCCCTCAATATTGGTAGGCAGGGGGCTGAGCCCTGCAATATTGAGGGGGCAACCATCCTCCACCACCACCGGGTGCCCTCCGAGTGCCCCTGCCCTCACCCAGGAGCCAGGCGGGGACTGAGATGAACAAAGGGCACAGATCACCCTCCATGCATCCTGCCTCCTCCCAGCGCCATCATGTGACGCATCAATATGGGGGGCAAGTCAGCTCCCATGATTTAAAGTGTACCTACCCATGTTCTTATGTCTTCATTATGACCCTGTTCTGTTCTGTGTCCCATTGCTTTCTTTTTTTTTTAATAAAGTGGGTAGACACATACAATTGTGTAATGTTGACTAAACTAGACTAGATCATGGTGTTACTGGTAGGTTCTTTGGGCTTCATCTCTGCTTGTCTTTAGATGTAAGGCTAAGATAATGACATTTCAGCATGCATATGAAATGGATCCCACAGGGATGATCTGGGCTTTTTAAATGCTTTTTCCTGGTTATTGCTGCTGAGGCTGCATGTGGCGTATGAAAAGAGATAAAGAGATACAGTTTCTATTGACTTGTTCCTAGAACAGATTTTTTTAAACCTTTAGTTAATTATATTTACTATAACTTCAGTTGTCATGAAGGTTATGACTGTGGATAGAAAGTCAGAATTATTCTTATTTTATTTTTAAAAATCCTATAGTGCAAATAAAAGCCTTTGGCAACTAATTTTTGATAACTATTTTGATTCATTCATCAGAGTCATTGTTACTTGAATTCAATGACCATTACTTTGTTGGGTTAGTAACAACAAGTTTTGCTTTAAATATGTGAGTGGGTTGCACTTCCAATTCCAGCAATGAAAGTCAAAGTACAGTTTTCCATGCCAGACATTAATGCTTCGAACGTAAAAGAGACTCCTTAGCGGTTTTGAATGAAATAAAAGCTGATGTGAAATGCTCTTCCAAAATCTCCTGTGCTGTTTGTGGCTGATTATTGGTAACAAAATAACCTGTGATGGGAGGGAGAGAAGGGGCTGCAATTATCCAACACACTTCTCAGAAATCTATCATATGTGAAATTTCTGCTCATTTAATGCTGAATAAAATTGCTGTGTTGGTAGTTCACATCAAAAGATCATGGAAGCAATTGGCAAAGGAGTGAGGACTGGAAAAAGTAGGGACAAGCCCATTGATAAATTCAACAACATGATTCAATATTTAAGACCGATCGACCGATCCTTCTTGCAATGAGGTTTCCAAATGCAAGAAGTGCTCACAAAATGTATTTATGTACAAAGTCGACGTTTAATAGGGAAATTAATTGTAAAGAATTGAAAATGTAAAGAATTGAAAAATGTGTATTTTACAGGAGGAGTGTGTTCAGAAAGTGTAAAAAATGGGTGCAATTTAAATGCAGAGATTGTTAATCATTTCAAAATGAACAGGGTTTGTGTTTCCTTTGGAATGAGGTACAGCAGAGGCTATTCCAGGAAATAAAATCCTTGCTTAGATTTTAACACTTGCCAGATCCAGCAATTAGAAGGGGATCTAGGAATAAAAATGAAACTCATAACAGTATTGTTTCTCAAACCAGCTTCACTCCAGCTAGAGTCCTTCAGCCTTTCCTAATTCATCTCCAGCCGAGGTGTGAACACCTAACACACCGACATCCTATTTCAAAGCATAACATTTTGCTTTGGATCCTTCCCAAGTTTCTTTAACCAAATCTATCGCTCCAGTTTAAAATCATAGACCTGTCTCAGATGGTTTGCTCTCAATATTTACTTATTGTCATTATATCCCCCCTTTCCTCCAAGGAGCTGGGGGTCATCCTTCCCAAGTTTAACCTCATGACAGTTCTGTAACGTAGCTTAGCCTGAGAAAATTGGCGCAAGGTCACCCAGTTATCTTAATGGCTGAACAGAGATTTGAACCTGGGTTCCCTAGTCCTAGTCCAACACTCTAAGCACAACACTATACTGGCTCAGAATAGTCAGAATAATTTACTTATGTTAATCAGATTCAGTACTTCATTCGAGTTGCAGCTTGACATCTTGGTCAATAAAAAAGATATAACAACCAAGCAGATTTTGAAATCAGTTTCCCATTCTGTCTCCATTCATCAGCAAGTCACTCTTAAGCATCCTTTACATAAGACTGAAGTTAAGGGTCAGTGGTTTAAAGATAGAGGGGAAATAATGGTAGGAAATATACACAATTGCATCACTTGTTTTGTAAATTAGGATTTGCAAGTCCGCATGGTGATGTTCTCCAAGGAGTGATTCTTTGAAACACTACAGAAAGCAGGGAGGCTCAGTTGAATCCTCTTTATCACAAACTATAAATCATTTGCTAAAGACCACACTTCAGCATTTTGGAACTTTCTTCTTCCAGACAAAGACAGAGGTGAGTAGAATCCTATTAGTTCAGAATGTATAACTTGCTGCTGAAATGGAATACTCAAGATGAAACGGTAAAATCGGCTATGATTAAATGGGCACAGGACGTAGGACATAACATTATGTTTGCTGACTGGGAACAGTTATGGACCACTGGTATGAAATTTACGGCATGTAATGCCTTAAGAGAGAATATTATGAAAATGATATACAGGTGGTACATAACCCCAGTCAAGCTTGCGAAAATTTATCACTTGCCCGATAACAAATGTTGGAAATGTAAAGAAACTGAAGGTACATTTTTTCACCTTTGGTGGACGTGCCCAAAGATTAAGGTTTTCTGGGAAATGATATATAATGAATTAAAAAAGGTATTTAAGTATACCTTTCCCAAGAAACCAGAGGCCTTTCTCCTGGGCATAGTGGGCCAAATGGTGTTAAAAAAGGATAGAACTTTCTTTATGTATGCAACAACAGCAGCAAGAATACTCATCGCAAAGTATTGGAAGACACAAGAACTTCCCACGCTGGAGGAATGGCAGATGAAACTTATGGACTATATGGAATTGGCGGAGATGACTGGCAGAATCCGTGACCAGGGAGAAGAGTCGATGGAGGAAGATTGGAAGAAATTCAAAGACTATCTTCAGAAATACTGCAAAATTAAGGAATGTTAGAGTGATGTTGGATTGAAAATAAGTGGTTTCCAGCTGTATAGGTTAAAGCTAGGATAGATTAAGATTAAAGATTAAGATTGGGAAAAATTTAAAGGTATATGACATTAAGAACAAGGATTATGCTTATGTTATATAGTTTAATATTTTATCAAATTAAAGATTGGGTTTTAAAAAGTGGAAAAGAAATTGCTGGACAAATAATGTAGATTGGAATACAAAAGAGGGAGGTATGAGGAAGTCCAGAAAATAAGTAATTTAAAATTGGGAATGTAAAAGAGAGTTTGTTTTAAATTGTTATGTTGTGTGTTTTTATTGTTAAATTTTGTATTGTTTTTTTTATGTGTGTTGTTTTTTTTTTCTCTTTGTTTAAAACTTTAATAAAAATTATTTAAAAAAAAAAAAAAGAATCCTATTAGTTCATCCTCAGTGCAGACTAGGGCTTGGAAGGTGCTTATATTTCAGTTATGAAAAGATCTCTTACAGCAGTAAGATTAATGCAAACATAATTTTTCTCTGATAAAAAGTGATTACATTTATAGGTAAGAGAAGATAATAATGTGTTGTTTCAAAATTCTCGTGATTGGGCTTTAAAGCTTCATGATTTTTCATTAATGCTAGGAAGTGTGTAGTTTGCATTTTTAAAAAGAAAGTTAAAGTATTGGGTTAGCAAAAATACCAAAACATCAAGTGTAAAGTTCCTTTATGCAACCACACTCCAAGGAGATTTTTTAAATTTCTTTACATCTAGTGCTCATATTTCAGTTCTGAAAAGACCATAAAATGTTAATACAGCAGTAGGATAAATGAAGACATGATTATTCTATGAAAAAATAGGTAGTATTTATAGGTAAGAGAAGATAATACAGTGGTGTTTCAAAATTCTGGTGATTGGTCTTAAATTCTGAATGCTCACCAAAGCCAAATTATTTTTCATTAATGCTAGGTGGTATGTGATTTGCTTTTTTAAATAAAGAAGCAGCATTATGGTTCGCAAAACCCCCCCCAAAAAACCCCACCATAGTAAATGTCCTTTATGCAACCAAACCAATGTGAATCTGCTTATTTACATCTAATAGCAAGGTATGCTGTAGTTTCTATTTGATTCTACTTTCTCAATCTTGATTCAACATGAAACCAAGATGGGTCTTTGCAGAGATGCTCCCCATGCTCCTTTACAACTCTAAAATTCTATTAGTACTGGGGAGAATGAATGGTGTCAGTTGAATGTCTACTGCTGGCATAACCCATTACCTCATATTGGGATAGGGGGCAAACCCCACATACAATTGCCTGCATGTTTCCTCATCCAACAGACTTTCATTAACTCCTTTCTAATTTTAGACATTTAGCAACACACCTCTGCTGGTGCTGCTAAAACACAATAACAGAGCTGCTCTTCAAGAAATTGTTTAAAGAAATACTAAAGAATTAAGGTGGCCAACCAGTCTACAGTGAGAGAATTTCTTCTGATGGGGTTTTCCAGTGACCGAGAAGAAGATTTTTTTTTACTTTGTGATATTTCTCTCCATTTATTTAACAGCCTTAGTGGGGAATTTCCTAATCACCATTGCTGTTGCCCTGAACCACAAACTCCACACTCCTATGTACTTCTTTCTGGTCAACCTACAATAACCAGACATTTGCTACATCTCATCCACTACCCCCAAATCCATTTCTATTAAAATAGAGGGGTGGGGTGGGGGGTGGAGCAATGAATTTTTTTTGTATGTGAGGAATGTGTACTTTAAAAGTAGCCTTTTAAAAGGGGGCATATGAGTAAGAAAAAAGAATTCTGCCTTACTAACTTTGGTTATGCTGCCTGTTTTTTTGTAGGGCAAAATGTATTAAGGACAAAATGTCCAATGAAAGCACCATTACGGAATTCCTCCTCCTAGGTTTCTCTGAAGTTCGGGAGATACAGCTTGTATATTTTGTGATCTTTCTACTGATCTATATGGCAGCATTGTTAGGGAACATCCTCATCCTTGTGGCTGTGGTCACAGATCCCCATCTTCACAATCCCATGTACTTCTTCCTGGCAAATTTGTCTGTTATGGACCTTGGGTACATCTCAGTCACAATACTAAAAGCCATGGCTAACTGTCTCATGAATACCAGGTTGATATCTTATTCGGAGTGCATCGCTCAAGTCTTCTTTCTCTTTTTCTTCATGGCATCAGACTTTTTCCTCCTCACAGTCATGGCGTATGACCGGTATGTTGCCATTTGTGACCCATTGCATTATGAAACAGTAGTGAATAAGGAAGCCTGCATCCAAATGGTGACTAGTACATGGATCAGTGGTCTCCTTTTCGCAACATTACACACTGGAGCCACCTTCGCTGTTCCTTTCTGTTCCAACATCATCAATCAGTTCTTCTGTGAGATACCTCAACTACTTAAGCTCTCTTGTTCTGACTTGTACCTTGTTGAAGCTGTGGCTCTGGGCTTGAGTGCATGTCTAGGACTCGGCTGCTTCAGTTTCATAGTTGTGTCCTATGTGGAGATCTTCAAAACAGTGTTCAGAATTCCTTCGGCACAGAGTAGAGACAAAGCCTTATCTACCTGCATTCCTCATCTCAGCGTTGTCTCCTTATTTACTTTCACTGGCATCTTCGCCAACCTAAAACTAACTTCCAAATCTGTGGTGGGTCTCGACAGTTCAGTTGCCATGGCTTACTGTGTCCTTCCCCCACTGATGAATCCAATAATTTATAGCATAAGAAACAAGGATATCAAAGCAGTGTTGTGGAAAATCTATGGCAGATCCTGGAAAAAGCATAGCAAAGGAAAATGTGGCTGTATAGGTCTGTGGGATAACTTGCAAACAGGAACATCTACTCCCTGAGTCAGATATGGAAGTTTCTGACTGGCACATAATACACAAGATGATTTGAAGCAGGAGCACCACATATAGGGACCGGAAGGGGCTTTGGCCCCCTCAATATTGGTGGGCAGAGGGCTGAGCCCTGCAATATTGAGGGGGCAACCAGTCTCCACCACCACCGAGTGTCCTCCAAGTGCCCCTGCCCTCACCCGGGAGCCAGGCGGGGGCTGAGATGAACAAAGGGCACAGATCACCCTCCATGCATCCTGCCTCCTCCCAGCGCCATCATCTAATGCATCACATGAGTGGGCTCCCTCAGTGTGGGGGCAAGTCAGCTCCCCTGATTTGAAGTATACCTACCCATGTTCTTATGTCTTAATCTATGACCCTGTTCTGCTCTGTGTCCCATTGTTTTTTGTTTTTTTAATAAAGTGGGCAGACACGTACGATTGTGTAATTGTGACTAACCTAGACTAGATCATGGTGTTACTGGTAGGTTCTTTTGGCTTCATCTCTGCTTGTCTTTAGATGTAAGGCTAAGATAATGACATTTCAGCATGCATATGAAATGGATCCCACAGGAATGATCTGGGCTCTTTTTTATGCATTTCCTGGTTATTGCTGCTGAGGCTGTGTGTGGTGTATGAAAAGAGATAAAGAGATACAATTTCTATTGACTTGTTCCTAGAACAGATTTTTTAAACCTTTATTTCATTATATTTACTATAAATTCAGTTGTCTTGAAGGTTATGACTGTGGATAGAAAGTCAGAAATATTCTTATTTTATTTTTAAAAAACCTATAGGAGAAATAAAAGTCGTTGGCAACAATTTTTTGATAACTATTTTGATTCATTCATCAGAGTCATTGTTACTTGAATTCATTGACCATTCCTTTGTTGGGTTAGTAACAGCAAGTTTTGCTTTAAATATGTGAATGGGTTGCACTTCGAATTCCAGCAATGAAAGTCAACGTACAGTTTTCCATGCCAGACATTAATGCTTCGAACATAAAAGAGACTCCTTAGCGGTTGGTGAATGAAATAAAAGCTGATGTGAAATGCTCTTCCAAAATCTCTTATGCTGTTTGTGGGTGCTTATTTGTAACATAAATAACCTGTGATGGGAGGGAGAGAAGGGGCTGAAATTATCTAACACGCTTCTCACAAAACGATCATATGTGAAATTTCTGCTCATTTAATGTTGAATAAAATTCCTGTGTTGGTAGTTCACATCAAAAGATCATGCTTCACTTCCTGTTTCTGGCAGTGGAAAATGGCTGATCCCACACAATCGGACTTCAGCCGTTCCAATAATTCAGGGCTGATATGGGGGTAATTAGCCCTGGCAGCCTCCCCAGGGCAAGGAGGACTGTCTCAACGACCCGTGGTTTGCCCCAGATTGCCGATGTGGCAGACGCCAGGGGCACTGGGTCACGGAGCTAGGGACAGCTGACACTCCTGCGACGCCACCCCATAGCCGGACGCATCTGTTTGGGAAAATATAAAGATTTGGAAAACAAACAGACACGCTCTGAATTGAAGAAGCTGGGAAAAACCTGCAGTATGTACAGTCTCTGGTGCAAAAGATCGAACTTCAAAGAGATCCGCATCATGACGTTTGGAATGTGGAGGGGCTTGGTATGTAAAAAAAAACATTCTTTTATCCTTAACGTCAACAATCCGTAATGCATGCCAAGTCTCATTAAGAACTTAAATTGCTCTTCAGAAAGTGAGTACAGATGGTCTTTCATATATAATTGGGATCTACTCGCAGCCACTTCTCTTCTAAGACCAGAAATGTCTGTTAAAGACGAAAAGACAGGACAAAGGACAAAATGGCGTCTCCTACCACGTCGTTATTGAATATCTGAAATACTTCCCTGATTAAGAGAAACAGGAGCTAACGGATGGTTGGTTATAAAGACTGGAAACAATATTACATATACAACTGTTTGCAAGAAGATTTTTTTTTTTATTACGAGCGAGAGAGAGGGCTAAATGGATGTCTGGCAGCCCCCCTCTAGGGCCTGGAGGGGGGACAGGGAAGATTCCAAAGGCCAATTGCTAACTGTCTGATATATGGCTACATTGCAAACAGTCTGCTTGAGATAAATCAACAAGGAGGGTACACATCAAAAGATCATGGAAGCAATCGTCAAAGTAGTGAAGACTGGAAAAAGTAGGGACAAGCCCACTGATAACTTCAACAACATGACTCAATACTTAAGACTGATCCACAATTGTGTCCAACACTGGCATTTGCAATGAGGTTTCCAAATGCAAGAAGACCTCACAAAACATATTTATGTACAAAGTGGACATTTAATAGGGAAATTAATTGTAAAGAATTGAAAATGTAAAGAATTGAAAAATGTGTATTTTACAGGAGAAGTGCGTTCAGAAAGTGTAAAAAATGGATGCAATTTAAATTCAGAGATTGTTAATCATTTCAAAATGAACAGTGTTTGTGTTTCCTTTGGAATGAAGTACAGCAGAGGCTATTCCAGGAATGAAAATCCTTGCTCAGATTTTAACACTTGCCAGATCCTGTGATTTGATGGGGGGTCTAGGAATACAGATGAAACAGTAACAGTATTGTTTCTCAAACCAGCTTCACTCCTGCAAGAGTCCTTCAGCCTTTCCTAATTCATCTCCAGCCGAGGTGTGAACACCTAACACACCGACATCCTATTTCAAAGCATAACATTTTGCTTTGGATCCTTCCCAAGTTTCTTTAACCACATCTATTGCTCCAGTTTAAAATCATAGACCTGTCTCAGATGGTTTGCTCTCAATATTTACTTATTGTCATTATATCCCCCCTTTCCTCCAAGGAGCTGGAGGTCATCCTTCCCAAGTTTAACCTCATGACAGTTCTGTAAGGTAGCTTAGCCTGAGAAAATTGGCGCAAGGTCACCCAGTTATCTTAATGGCTGAACAGAGATTTGAACCTGGGTTCCCTAGTCCTAGTCCAACACTCCAAGCTCTACACTATACCGGCTCAGCATAGTCAGAATAATTTACTTATGTTAATCAGATTCAGTACTTAATTTGAGCTGCAGCATGACATTTTGGTCAATAAAAAAGATATAACCACCATGTAGGTTTTGAAATCGGTTTCCCATTCAGTCTGCATTCGGTCAGCACTTCACTCTTAAGCATCCCTTACATAAGACTGAAGTTAAGGGTCAGTGGTTTAAAGATAGAGGGGAAATATTTCTAGGAAATATAGAAAATTGCATCACTTGTTTTGTAAATCAGGATTTGCAAATCCTCATGGTGATGTTCTCCAAGGAGTGATTCTTTGAAACACTACAGAAAGCAGGGAGGCTCAATTGATTCCTCTTTGTCACAAACTATAAATCATCTACTAAAGACCACACTTCAGCATTTTGGAACTTTCTTCTTCCAGACAAAGACAGAGGTGAGTAGAATCCTATTAGTTCATCCTCAGTGCAGACTAGGACTTGAAAGGTGTTCATATTTCAGTTATGAAAAGACTGTAAAAGGTTTAATACAGCAGTAGGATTAATGAAGAAAACATTATTCTATGAAAAAATAGGTAGTATTTATAGGTAGGAGAAGATAATAAAGTGGTGTTTCAAAATTCTGGCGTTTCAGCTGATTATCTCAGATTAAGAAAGGAGGCAAGCCCTACATACAATTGCATGTTTCAAAATTCTGGTGATTGGGCTTAAAAGCCTCATGATTTTTCATTAATGTTAGGAGGTGTGTGAAAGCATTATGGTTAGCAAAAATACCAAAACATCAAGTGTAAAGTTCCCTTACGCAACCACACTCCAAGGAGGATTTTTAAATTTATTTACATCTAGTGCTCATATTTCTAGTTCTGAAAAGACCACAAAATGTTTAATACAGTAGTAGGATTAATGAAAATATGATTATTCTATGAAAAGATAGGTAGTATTTATAGGTAAGAGAAGGTAAAACAGTGGTGTTTCCAAATACTGGTGATTGGTCTTAAACTCTGAACGCTCATCAAAGCCAAATTATTTTTCATTAATGCTAGTTGGTATGTGGTTTGCATTTTTAAAAATAAAGTAGAAGCATTATGGTTTGCAAAAAACAAACAAAAACACCATCATTAAGATCCTTTATGCAAACAAACAAATGAGAATCTGCTTATTTACATCTAATAGCAAGGTTGCTCTGATAAGCTGTAGCGTGTATTTGATTCCACTTTCTCAATCTTGATTCAACATGAAACCAAGTTGGGTCTTTGCTGAGATGCTTCCCATGCTCCTTTTCAACTCTAAAATTCTATTAGTACCGGGGAGAATGAATGGTGTTAGTTGAATGTCTACTGCTGGCATCACCCATTACCTCATATTGGGTTAGGGAGCAAACCCCACATACAATTGTCTGCATGTTTCAAAATTCTGGTGATTGGGCTTAAAAGCCTCATGATTTTTCATTAATGTTAGGAGGTGTGTGAAAGCATTATGGTTAGCAAAAATACCAAAACATCAAGTGTAAAGTTCCCTTACGCAACCACACTCCAAGGAGGATTTTTAAATTTATTTACATCTAGTGCTCATATTTCTAGTTCTGAAAAGACCACAAAATGTTTAATACAGTAGTAGGATTAATGAAAATATGATTATTCTATGAAAAGATAGGTAGTATTTATAGGTAAGAGAAGGTAAAACAGTGGTGTTTCCAAATACTGGTGATTGGTCTTAAACTCTGAACGCTCATCAAAGCCAAATTATTTTTCATTAATGCTAGTTGGTATGTGGTTTGCATTTTTAAAAATAAAGTAGAAGCATTATGGTTTGCAAAAAACAAACAAAAACACCATCATTAAGATCCTTTATGCAAACAAACAAATGAGAATCTGCTTATTTACATCTAATAGCAAGGTTGCTCTGATAAGCTGTAGTGTGTATTTGATTCTACTTTCTCAATCTTGATTCAACATGAAACCAAGTTGGGTCTTTGCTGAGATGCTTCCCATGCTCCTTTTCAACTCTAAAATTCTATTAGTACCGGGGAGAATGAATGGTGTTAGTTGAATGTCTACTGCTGGCATCACCCATTACCTCATATTGGGTTAGGGAGCAAACCCCACATACGATTGCCTGCATGTTTCCTCATCCAACAGACTTTCATTAACTCCTTTCTAATTTTAGGTGTTACAAACACCTCTGCTGGTGCTGCTAAAACACAATAACAGAGCTACTCTTCAAGAAATTGTTTTAAGAAATACTAAAGAATTAAGATGGCCAACCAATCTACAGTGACAGAATTTCTTCTGATGGGGTTTTCCAGTAATCGAGAAGAACAATTGTTTTACTTTGTGATATTTCTCTCCATTTATTTAACAGCCTTAGTGGGGAATTTCCTAATCACTATTGCTGTTGCCCTGAACCACAAACTGCACACTCCTATGTACTTCTTTCTGGTCAACCTATCATTATCAGACATTTGCTACATCTCAGCCACTATCCCCAAATCCATAGCTGCTTCTTTGTCAGATGACAAAAGGATTTCTTTTGCTGGCTGTGTCGCACAGGTTTTCTTAGTCTTCACTTTTGCAGGTTCTGAGCTTGCCTTGCTCACTATCATGGCTTATGATCGCTATGTTGCAATCTGCCATCCTTTACAGTATGAGCTAATCATGAACTGGGATGCCTGCATCCAAACGGCAGCTGCTTCCTGGATCAGCAGCTCAATCCATTCATCATTACATACCATTATCACTTTCAGGCTACATTTCTGTGGGTCTAATATTATTGGGCAGTATTTCTGTGATGTCCCTCAGTTGCTTAAGATTTCTTGTACTGACACAAAGGTTAACCAAATTTTGATCTTTGCCATTGGGTTTATTGTAGATTCATTTTGTGGAGGGTTCATCTTTGTTTCCTATGGCTATATCTTCTCTGCTGTGCTGAGAATCCCTTCTGTTCAAGGCAGATATAAAGCTTTCTCTACCTGCATCCCCCACCTGATTGTCTTTTCTTTATTTATGAGCACAGGTGTGTTTTCATACATGAGACCTAAAGCACTTTCTTCTACAACAATGGATTTGCTCTCTGCTGTATTGTATACGGTTTTGCCACCACTAATGAATCCCATTATTTATAGCTTTAGGAACAAAGACATCCAAGAGGCCGTGTTGAAAATACCAAAAAGAATTAGAAGTCTCCTGGCATGATTGCTTGCATTGTGTCTCATACACATCACAATTCCTGTGCTTTGCATAACAATGCAAATGCCATTGAAAATGGTATAATAATGTAATTTGGCTTCCAGGTGGAAAAATCAAAATTAGAAACAGAATTGTTAGAACCCAAAACTAAGATTTTGTCAAAGATGTACAATTTGCTGTTGAAATGGAATACACAGGATGAAACGGTGAAATCTGCTATGATTAAATGGGCACAAGATGTTGGACATAACATAATGATGGCTGACTGGGAACAGTTATGGACCACAGGTATGAAGTTTACGGCATGCAATGCCTTAAGAGAGAATATTATGAAAATGATATACAGGTGGTACATGACACCAGTCAAGCTTGCAAAAATCTATCACTTGCCCGATAATAAATGTTGGAAATGAAAGGAAACTGAAGGTACATTCTTTCACCTTTGGTGGACGTGCCCAAGGATTAAGGCTTTCTGGGAGATGATTTATAATGAGATGAAAAGGGTATTTAAATATACCTTTCTGAAGAAACCAGAGGCCTTTCTCGTGGGCATGGTTGGCCAATTGGTGCCAAAGAAGGACAGAACTTTCTTTATGTATGCCACAACAGCAGCAAGAATACTTATAGTATTGGAAGACGCAAGATTTACCCACCTTGGAAGAATGGCAGATGAAGGTGATGGACTACATGGAACTGGCGGAAATGACTGGCAGAATCCGAGACCAGGGAGAAGAGTCGGTGGAAGAAGATTGGAAGAAATTTAAAGACTATTTACAGAAATATTGCAAAATTAATGAATGTTAGAATGATGTCAGAATGAAGTTAAGTGGTTTAAGCAGCAATGTTATAAAGGTGTATGAAAAATGGATTATTAACAGGTAGAACTCAAAGTTATATTATATTAAGTTAAAGGATTAAGATAAAAACAAAGAGGGAAAGAAATTGCTGAATTAACTAATTGAATTGGAATACAAAAAAGGGAGGTGTGAGGAGGTCAGGGAAGTAAGGATATGAATATATGATATGGAAAGATTGATGTGTTTTCTTTTTAAATGTTTTTTTATCTTTTTTCTGTATTTTGTATTTTTCTTTTTTGTTGTTTTTATTTTTGTTTTCTCTTCTATTCTTTTTATCTATGTAATTTTTTTTCTCTTAATAAATATCATTTAAAAAAGAAAAAAAGAAAATGGTATAATAATGTATTATACTGCATAATAGTGCTTTGCAAATAGATGTGTATTGGGCAAATTTGCATATAAAATGTATATACCGTATTTTTCGCTCTATAGGACGCACTTTTCCCCCTCCAAAAATGAAGGGGAAATGTGTGTGCATCTTATGGAGTGAATGCAGGCTTTTGCTGAAGCCTGGAGAGCGAGAGGGGTTGGTGCACACTGACCCCTCTCGTTCTCCAGGCTTCAGGAAGCTATCCGCAAGCCTACGGAGCCCAGCGGGAACTCCCATAGGGCTCCGAAGGCTTGCGGATACCTGCCTGCAGCCCGAAGCCCAGGGAGCGTGGCACTGTGCACCCCGGGCTTCGGGCAGCTATCCGCAGGCTTGCAGATAGGTGCTTGCAGCCCAAAGTCCGGGGAGCGCGGCACTGCACACCCTGGGCTTTTGGCAGCTATCCACAAGCCTGCAGAGCCCAGCGGGAGTTCCCTCCAGGCGCCGCAGGCTTGCAGATAGCTGCCCTAAGCCCGTGGTGTGCAGCAGGCTACAGCGCTGCGCTCCCCAGGTCCTCAGATAGCAGCAAGCTCCGGGAGGAATGGCGAGGTTGAGCACAACCTCGCCTTTACTCCCGGACCCCCAGCCCCGAGGCTAAAAACGAAGCCAAGACAGCTAGCGGGATCCATCCCGCTCGCTGTCATGGCTTCTTTGGGGCCCGGGGGGGAAATAAAGTTTTTTTTTCTTTATTCCCCCCACCCCCCAAAAAAATAGATGCACCCTATGATCCAGTGCGCCCTATAGAGTGAAAAATACGGTATTAGGAAAGTTTCACACATGATGTTTCACGCATGAGTGCTCAAGTTGTGTCTCGCACATATCACAATTTTTGTGTGGAAATTTCTAGTGCCCACTTTTGAGTGATGCCCTCCTCTTCCAGCCCATCTCCTGTTGTTCAGAATGTACTCAGGTTAAGAGTGAATAAAAATGCATTTATTATTAAAAATAGTAATAGTGCTTCGTAAAAAGATGTGTATTGGGCCTATTGCAAAGAATAGAGCTTGGGAAAGTATATTTTAAATTTAGTGCATGTTATATGAAAATAGATGCTCACATGGTCCTGAAGTGGGCGGTGTTTGCAGCACAGGGCACGACTTCCTCGTCCTCCTGAAGTCACACTGTTCTGCCAACCGTTGCTCGGCTGTCCTGGCCGCCACAGTACTTAATGGTTCCCACCAAACCCGATTCACATTCCGCCTATCTGCAGCAGCCTGCTCCAGAAGCATAAAAGGGTCCCAGAGCTGACACTGGCAGCACAGTTGGCCCAGAGCATCAGGAGCATCAGGAGCATCAGATCTAGATCCCTTCTTGATCTTTAGCCCACCTGTGGAGGCATCGGTCCTTTGGAGCACCAGTTAGGAACACCCGTTTTCGGCCCACTGCCAGTGCCTCCCTAGCCAGCATCAACCATCTAGAGGCCTCATTGAAGGATCCCCCTTGTGGTGCCTTGCCAGAGCGATGCAGCCTTTTTGAGTATTTTACCTGTGATCTTCGCTTAGCCACGGCTGTTGCCACCTTCTTCCTCCATATGCCGCTTCTGTGGGAAGAAGCGCATCCAGTATCCTTCCCTTTCTGTGTCACTATCCCATTCTCACACCAATGCCATTTTGAGGGGGTCATTGGCCCATGTGTCTGAGGCAAGTATGAGCCGCCCTTCTTCCCAGAGAGCAAAGTGTGGCAGCCTTAAAGCTCCCACAGCTCTTTACTTTAGTCACGTTGTTGCAGCTCTTCATCCGAGAAAACCCTGTGTGTCATATACTCTCAATTCTATGCCCATGATGCCAGGTTTGCAGGTTCATTTCCTTCAGGGGGCAGCAACACTTCCCTACACTGTAAGGGTATCAACCATAAAGTTAGCTCATGAAGACTGTGGATGGTTCAGTGGTTAGAGCAGTGTGCTGATAATGCCAAGTTTGCAGGTTCATCTCCTGCAGGGGGCAACAACATAATCCCACATTGCAGGGGGTTGGACTAGATGAACTTCATGTTTGCAAAATACCTTATATATCTGGAACAAATTATGTAGCCACATAGGCACGGCAAGGAATTGCTTGGTTCCATGTGTATGTATGTGTGTATTTATGTATATATGCATGCATGTGTGTATCGGCATGTATATTTGTGTGTGTGTGTGTGTGTGTGTGTGTGTGTAGATATGTATATGTATATGCACATATTCCACGATGAGTTGATTATGGTATTTAAAAAGTCAATCAATCTCTGACTTTTGTCTTCTGGGTTTCTGGGGGTTTACTTGTTGTTATTCTGTCTCTCACAGCTACAATAAACCTACCATTAAATTTAGCAGGGGATCAAATACTTTTTTCATATATATATATATATATATATATATATATATATATGATGTGTGGTAATCTGATGATTTGATAGAAATAAAATTAATCTGATCTGGTCACTTTTTTCTGCAATCGAAATAATGTTTGCTCAAAATAAGCTCGACTGAATTCATTTTGGCTTATTGCTAGATAAATGGGTTCTTCCTAACTGAGGGTCTGCCTTGCATGCAGGCCCAAGGTGTGTCCCCTCTACTATCCTTGAGGAGGTGGGAGATTGAGCCCAGCCCACACAATGGCCCCACAATCACACCATGGCCTATTGGCCAATCAGAGATTGGTGGTGTGATTGTGGGGGCATATAAAAGGTGGTGGCACATTTCTGGGGATTCACCTGGCTTCTCTGTCTCCCTTTCACATGGACCACTTCAGATCTTTGGCACTGGATGCACAGCAGTTGCCGGAGCCTTTTCTGGTGTACCTATGGAGCCTTGGAAGTGCATAGTTATGCAGGGAGTAGTCTCTTCCTTGGCCCCCTCCACATTTAAATCTTACAAGAAAACCTGGGCTGATTTTATAACGTTCCGTGTGCAGAATTTATCTATTGCTGTAGATCAACCCTCTTCTACAGATCAGGTTTCACAATACATAGCACACTTATATTAGCTTTGGCATGCAGCTAAGACTCTTAAAATCCAGTCTGCTGCCATTTCTTTTTTTAGCAAACCCCTGTTTGCCCATGATCTGTGTGCAGCTTTTGTGCTCCGGAAGGCTCTGGAGGGCTGGCGTAGACTTCAACCATCTTCTGGTGTTGGCCGCAGGCCTGTCACCTTTGACCTATTATGTAAAATTCACAAAAAGCTAAGATCTGTTTGCTGGTCCCGGTATGAGGCACGGTTGTTCTCTTCCAATTATTCTATCGCAATAGAATGGGTGAGGTTGTTTTTGAGGAGGTCTGTGGGGGAGTTCCTATGGGTCTGCACTTAGAGGACATATCTTTGGGAGAGGCGGAATTGGTGGTCCAGGATAGTCGGTCCAAAATGGACCAAAGGGGTAAGGGGGCCTGTGGCTTGCCAGCATTGGAATTTGCTGCCCATTCTTTCAGGATTGGCGCCGCTATTACGGCAGTTCATTGGGGCCTTTCAGTGGACAGGATAAAAAACTTGGGCTGGTGGAAGTCCAATGCCTATAAGGGATACATCCAGAAAAGCAAGTAGCATGTTGTCCACCTCCTAACATATTTTGTCTTTTCCTTTTTTTCAGTGTTGCCAGAGTTGCATGTGTGGATCGTGGGTCACAGCATCGTGCACTGGGCCAGTGTGCGAGCAGTGGAGACTGGCTTTGGGTGCCAGCTCGGCTTACCTGCTCAAGTCAAGGTTTCCTGGGTGTCCAGATGTGGGATGCACTGGAAAGAAGTTTTACCACTGGTGAAGGCTCAGGTGACCACTTGGGGCCCGCCTTCTGGTTGTGCAGCTGGGTGAAAATGACTTGCCACTGCTGAAGGGCATGGACTTGAGGACTTGCATTAAGAAGGACTTGGAGGAGCTGGCAGCAGTGCTCCCAGATACCACAATATTTTGGTCACAGTTCCTGGTGCGTCAGGTTTGGCACAATTGTTCATGCCCAGCTGCCACCAACACAACCAGGAAGCATGTTGACCCTGAGGTGTCAAACAAGGTGTTGGTGCTGGGTGGCATAGTGATTCACCACCCTGGTATTACCTTCAGTGATAGAGCCCTGTTTCGGGCTGATAGTATGCATCTTTCTGATGGCGGAAATGATGTGTGGATGGATGAGATTGTTAGAGGTTTGAAGGATTGGTTACAGGATCTGAGGGTATTGGTGCCTCGTGTGGGGCTCGTGTGGCGGTTAGGCATTGGCTTATTGTGATGCGGTGGAAGGGAGGTGTGGCCATCATCATCTACTGGAATACAAGGGTATTCCAGTAAAGGAATCTGTGGGTCTAGATCTCATCCGCAGTCCGCTTGAGGGGTTAGGGCCATGCCAGGACCCAGCAGGAACCCCAGGGTGAGCATCAGTTGGTTGCCATCGACGGAGCTCCTTCCAGATTTCCTGCAAGGTGGGCAGGAGTCAGATATAGTTATTGCCAATGACTAAGCCAATACCACTCACACTGCTGTAATCAATAAAGTTTTGCCCTAAAGTTTTGCCCATTAACCTTAATCTAAAATTCTGTTTCAGTGTATATTTATTTATCCTTGGGGATGCTCTGGGGTCTTGATGCGCAATTGGGATTAAATGGAAGCCTGAAGATAACTTCCTTTTGAGTTCCTAGCAGAACTGGCCATTACTGGATTATCCTTTGTAAGCAGCAATGTGAGTGAGCAGAGCTCAGGTGTATGCCAGCACCCCATTACGCTGTCTGCTGCTGGCTGATGTCTAAGTTTGAGCAGACCATGTACCTGTCAATCACCTGATCTTTTAATTTAAATTATTATCACTTTGTCTGTGAGAGTTTCCAGTAGGGAACAGACAGACACAACTAAAGAAAGCCTTTCAGGTGCGGGCTTCTTAACTCCTGCTAAGCAGCAGTGATGCAATTGAGTGGAGGTCAATTGAGAGCCACTGCACTACTATAATGTCTATTACTGCCATTGGGTGCACCCAGTTCCCCAACCTTCATATGTAAGCTCTAATGCACAAGATGGAAGAGCACCCTTCATATGAAGGGCAACCTAAGTTCCTTCAGCTGAACACTTATGGAAGCTCAAAATAGAAGTTGATGATCAGAAAGTAGAAGTAGAAGTTGATGATCAGAAAGAATTTGCCAGTGTTGCAAACAGATGAGGTGGGGGGAGAGGACAATAAAAATAGTTGTGATGTTACGTATATGAAATTTAGGTATGCATGACAAGGAAAAAAATGAAAAAGTATCCTTGCATACTAGAAGTCAATTAATTTTTGGAGCCTTTTTCATCTTCTTTGTACAATATTGTGCCTCAAGGGGCATCCTTCAGCAAATATAAATTAATTCAAGTGGCACCAACATGGGGAGAGCACAAACTTCCCTGGAGCAAAGATTCTCAAGAGATTTTGCAATGACATCTTTGTTTGCATATCTGAGAACAAGTAAATCTGGGGAAGGCAGTTTGCTGATATTATACTGATGTGTGTGTTTTGGATTTTTGTTGTCCATGAAACATTGCCACTTCTTTTCATTTACACATCGTGTACATTTCACTGGCAGAAATTAATGAATGAGACAACCTTAGCATACAAGGATTGGGTGGAAATACTCTGATGCGATATCACTATTCTCCTGATTGTCTTGCTTTTCACATATATTGAGGAGCAACTGGGGCAGAACTGGGCTGGCTAGGTTGAGTTTTTCATCTGCTCAGTTCCCTTTGTGTCCTTCGCTTTCTGGATTGATCCAGCAGGCTCTTATATTCTTATGCATATTAAAAGAACTAGTAGGGAAATGGACAACATTTGTTTTACACAGCATCATGGGACTGGTATGTTCTCCCAAGAGAGAACCAGAAATAGCACAGGAAAGGAGGATGGCATCACCTTCTCCACCTCCTCCTGACAAGCCATGTACCTTCAAATAAATATCACCGCCAAGCACATTGGCACTCTAATCTGAGAGAAACAGTGGTGAGTATAATCCTTGTTGATCTCTTTAAAGAGAATGAAGGGACTCAAGGATGCTCGAGCTTTCAATTCTGAAAAGATTGCAAAATGACTGATGTAGTAGTTGGTGTAAAGTGGACTTATTTTTTTAAAAAAATTATCATTTCTTTTATATATAGGAGAAGGCAACAGAACACTTGGAAAAACTGTGCAGAGATATATTTCACACTGGAATATGGACAACTGACATTTGACAACTGACAAGAAATATGATAATGGAGTAAGTTCAAGTGCTACCATAACTCTCTCTTGTTCACAGCAACAATGGTGGTAAGCAGATACTCCGGAATTCTTCAGTAACTATGGCATTTCCGACAATGGGAAGCTTTTAATGATTCAGGGCGCAGTCTTTATCTTGTCAGCTCATTAGATTGGCTGGTTAAACAAATTACCTACTGCATATGACAGAAATTAATTGAGAGATGGATGCTTCTGGGTTATCTTTTCCAAAAAATTTAAATGAAATAAATAATAATATATGGTAATACGATCACTAGAATAGAAATTACTTATCCAAATGGAATTTGTTTTGTCTTTTTTGAATAGGATAGAAATTAATATGATTCTGCCTGCACATTGAGAAGTATAGCCATTTTTTGAGTGTTTCCATGGGCCATGTTACTAGAAATAAATAAAATTATGTTTTGGATTTTTTTCAATTCTCCTTGCAGGTTGTTGAAATCTTTGCTGTTTCAGTATTCTAGCAATCAGTCTTCATTCCTGAAACTTCATTCAGGTTGATTCTTCACTGCTCTTAGGTAATATGTGAATTGCTATGCTGTTGTTCAATTGAAAAAAATGGAGAGCACCTTTCAAAAGACATACACTTGGATGATAGTTTGTTGTCATATATTTTTGATGGAAAACCTCCAAATATTTGAGAACTGACAATTTTTTATTCCAATATACTTGAAGAAAGCTTCCATTTCCATGTTTTACATTACTAAAGTATTTAGCAAGAAATAGAAAAGCCTCACTGAGAATACACATAATACAATCTTTCAAAATATCCACAGTGATTTCATTTTTTTGTTTTATATGAAATTTCAGATAAACTTTCTAGAATGGTGGTTCCTTTACCCCATCTAGTTAATTCAGTGTGATCTCTCTCTCTCTCCCCCCCCCCCCCAATGTTACATGTTTCATAAAAATGGTTTATGTACATTTGATGGCAAAATGGAAGACTTCTGTAAAAACTGCACCATTTACATCATGTGGCACACGGCTTAGAAAGTATATGTATGTACCCAGTCTCTGTTGCCTTTCCCCCAGTCTTTGAGGGTGGATAAATCATATTAGCTGAAGATATGTGAGTGCACATACTATCCCCATGAGGCTTCATGTCATATCAGAATGAAAGAACACATCAGCAGTTAATAGTGTGCATACATGGTTCTTGATGTGGATAAATGTGTTGTTGTGAACTAGCGCAATATCTAAGATGATAATTTAAAAAATTAGAATGTCCAAAAATTGGTAAGCTCCACTAACGCACAACTATTTAACTTCTATCTGCAGAAGGACAGAAATGAGAGAAATGGCTAACCAATCTACTCCAACAGAGTTCCATCTCATGGGGTTTTCTGAAACTCGTGATATGCAGATTTTGCATTCTGCAATATTTCTCTTCATTTACTTAACAGCTTTAGTGGGAAATTCTCTCATCATCACAGCTGTGGCCCTAGACCGCCACCTTCACAGCCCGATGTACTTCTTTTTGATCAACCTGTCATTGCTTGATGTTTGCTCCATTTCCACTACTGTACCCAAATCCATCACCATTTCATTGACAAACAACAACATGATTTCTTTTGCCGGATGTGTCACACAGGTCTTCTTAGTGGTCACATTTGTTGGTGGTGAACTTGCTTTGCTCACTGTTATGGCTTATGACCGTTTTGTAGCCATCTGTCACCCACTACAATATACCTTAATCATGAATTGGGATGCCTGCATGCAAATGGTAGCTGCTTCCTGGATAAGCAACCTGATTCATGCAGTATTGGAAACCAGTTTTACTTTCGTGCTAAATTTCTGTGGGACCAATATCATTGAGCAATATTTTTGTGACATTCCTCAATTGCAAAAGATTTCTTGCAGTGATACAAACATGAATCAAGTTCTGATTTTTGTCCTTGGGTTTTTTATTGACTCTTTTTGTTTTGCATTTATCTTTGCTTCCTATGGCTACATCTTCTCTGCTGTGCTGAGGATCCCATCAGTCCAAGGCAGATATAAAGCTTTCTCTACCTGCACTCCTCACCTGACTGTCTTTTCTTTATTCATCACCACAGGTGTGTTTTCATACATGAGGCCAAAAGCACTTTCTTCCCCCACAGTGGACTTGGTATCTGCTGTGTTATATACAGTTTTGCCACCAGTTCTTAATCCCATTATTTATAGCCTTAGGAACAAGGACATCCAACTGGCAGTCTGGCAAATACCCAGAAAACTGAAACATCTCATTGCATGATTCATCACTTCCAGATTTTTGGAAAAATGGAAACACTTAATGTATATCTGAGGTTGAATTTAGGAAATTAACTGTATTTCTTCACCTTTGAAATAGAGGATTTCATAATATTAACTATTTATCATATTAAAAGGCTCCTTGCCATTTTCACAAATTTAGTGACAGAGAATATGTCGATCTTATTATTTCTTCAGTTATGGGCCATTATTGCTGCTTCTACAGTGTTGCAGAGAACTATCTTGATTGTATCTTATGTAGACATTTTCGAAAGAATTATGTTTTTGTGTTGTTACTCACAAATCTGACTCTCTTAAAATTGAAGCCCTGGTATTTGCTTTAAGATATGCTTGTCTAGGTTCTCGTTAAACATAGTGAATGTATGACAGAGGGTGCTGTAGATTAACAATACAAATAATAAATAGTTATTGGGTGAAAACTGTTACCCCTACAAAGCTGCAATATCCAGATTTCCTGGGGAGGGGGTTGAATGTTAAAGCACTTTGAGAATGCCAAGGTGGGAATGGAGGGAACAGAAGGATCTGTGATTCTCCATCTGGTATATATGCATGTGGGGGCGTGGGGATTGGATTCTTGGACATGGCTTAGGGTAAATAAAAACAAAAACCCATAAGCATGTTGGTGGAATGAATTGAAATAGATGTGATACACAATTTACATTACAAATTCTTTTTTATTAGTTTTTATTGATTTTAACATTTTTATCTTGATCACAGTAACATAATCTCAAATATAAAGACAAACCCAAATACCCCCCTCCCCCCATGACTTCACTCAACTTCCTCTTCTGGTTTGTTGCATAATAATTTCCCTGCTTTTTTGGGTTGTATCTTAATACCGTGGTACCTCGGCTTACGAACTTAATCCATTCTGGAAGTCCATTCTTAAACCCAAGCCTACTTAAACCAAGGCTTGCTTTCCCATTGAAAGTAATGGGAAATGGATTAATCCATTCCACACGATGAAAAACAACCCCTAAAACAGCAATTCAACAATAATTTTACTGTCTAACGAGACCATTGATCCATAAAAAGAAAGCAATGGACCAGGCTGCAATCTACTACCCAGTATAAAAGCCCTTACCCTGACGATGCCATCCTGTGCCCTGTGAGGGAATGCTTTGGCAGTTACTCCTGGGGACAAGCTGCAGCAGCGGCGGTGGCAGAGGGACCCTGCGCCGGCCTCAGCAGCGTCACCCAGAAGCAGAGAAGCAGGTCCTTGATGCTGCAGTTATGAGTGTGACAGAGTAAACCCATATTGTTCGAGTGGTAGTAAGTGCTGGGCTGCAAGTGTGAAAATGCATCTGGTTTCTGGGGACCTCTCTGGGGGTGGGGGGAGAGACACTCTTACTGTTGAGTGTTTAATCAAATCCTGCTAGTGAGTTCATTTCTTTACAGTTTTTCTGTGAATACATCACAAATGGTTCCCACTCCTTTTTAAAGTATCTATTGTCTTTGTCTCTTAATCTCTCAATTTGGCCATTTCAGCATAGTCCATGAGTTTATCTTTAGTTGGTATCTTGTCACTGTTCCACTTTTGACTAGGAGTATCCTAGCCACTGTTGTAGCATACATGAAGATTAAATTCTTCTCTTTCGGCAGATCTCGACCTATAATGCCTTGTAAAAAAGCTTCTGGACTTTTGACAAAGGTTACAAATTCTAATGCAAATGTAACACCCCCGCATACCAGAGAATGGAATACAATTCAGTTTTGCATCCCTTATCAGTTCTTCTTTCACATCCAACTGCTTTCTTTGCAACAATGTACAAGCAAAATAAATACAAAAGGACAAAACAAATCCCCAGTGTATTTCATTGTACAGTGGTACCTCTGGTTAAGAACTTAATTTGTTCGGGAGGTCTGTTCTTAACCTGAAACTGTTCTTAACCTGAGGTACCACTTTAGCTAATGGGGCCTCCCGCTGCTGCCCAATTTCTGTTCTCATCCTGAGGGAAAGTTCTTAACCTGAGATACTACTTCCGGGTTAGTGGAGTCTGTAACCTGAAGTGTCTGTAACCCAAGGTGTCTGTAACCCGAGGTACCACTGTATCTCACTGAGCATCCTTTACCTAAAATAAATTCAAATGACAACCCTTTTGTTTGTAATTTTATATCCAAACTTGACTTTTCACTTGAAACATTCTGAATATTTTGGTTGTAGAAATGAATAAGTGAAAGGACCTTGACTAATTAATAGTCCAGAAATGATAGCATGAATAGTATTTTCATCATCCACAGGTGCATAGCTGGACTCATCCCCCGCTCCCCCATGGGGTTTAAATGGAAAACTTCTTATGAGAAAGTCCCTCCTCTTCCCGGAGGGGAGCAGTTGTGAGCAGGAATCGCTTCCCATGCTCGCAGGGAGGGGCGTGGCCCCTGCATCACTGGAGTCCTGGGCCCACGTCATGCACCCCAGCCATCCAATCTTACTGGCTGGGGGCGTGGTTTAGCAGTTTTAAAATGGTCACGAGCCCACAAGGTCTTCCTTGTTGTTCTGGCTTCCTCAGATCACCCTCCCTCCCTCTAGATTCCGCTTCAGCACCTGACCTCGCTATGGACCTAGGTTGGTCGCCTTGGTTGTCCAAGGGGACTGGTAGGAATTGTTTTCCACTTGGCAGATTGGCACCAGCCACCTGGTTTTTTGCCTACCTCATAACAAATCGTCACAATTTTGTAAGGTTTGGTGGTTAGGGATTGGAAATGCGTTGTGTGTTAGAGGGGAGGTTGTTGCCATCACCTACCCCTCCCTTTGAAGGGTATTCTGTTAAAGGAATCTGGTGGTCGTGGTTCTTGTACCACACCCAGGTGGTGGCTAGGGCCACGGCACGACCCTCCGGTGACTCTAGGGGAAAGCTTCCAGTTGATTTCCATCAACAAGCTCTCTCTACTGGTTGTTAACCCTTGTGTGACTTCCTGCAAAGCGGGCAGGAGTCAAGTATAGTCTGTTCGGATCCAATGCCTAAGCCAATACCACTCACATTCTGTAACCAATAAAGTTGTGGCCTTTTTTAGCCCATTAACCTAAAATACTTGTCTCCGTGAGTCTTATTTCATCACAAAGCGGGGAGTGGGGCCTCGACTCACAAATCATGCTTTTTTGGATAGAGCAATTGGGACAGAACTGGGCAGGCTATGTTAAGGCCTTTTCTTCCAGGACTTTGCCCATGATGGCATATTGTGGTTCAAGGACCCGAACCCCGCGCAGTGGAATGAAACACAAGGACACGTGATATAAGGTTAATGGGCAAGAAAAGGCCACAACTGTATTGATTACAGCAGTGAAAAGGTATTGGCTTAGGCATTGGATGTCTAAAACAAGGGGGTTTATTCACCAGTAGATGGAGCCTGTTGATGCTAATCCAACTATAGGCTCTCCCCTGATGTCACCGAGGGTCGTGCCATGTCCTCCCGCCAAGCAGGCATCGGACAGAATACACGACCGCCGGATTCCTTTAACGGAATACCCAAAAATTGAAGGCGCAGGCGATGGCCACACCTAGCCCTTCGACACCACAACACATTATTCACAACACATTATACACTCGCGACGGGACTACAAAGGTGAGGGCTGGAGGCTGTCGCCACAGCAATACAGGCTGCTGTACACACCCCCTTGAAGGCACCTGGTTGGGTGCCTGGCCGAGGGCGTGGGCACCAGCCAGGTGGGTGGGAGGCAGGGGGCAAATGCCCCCTGCTTGAGGCGGAGTCCGGCTCCTGACCACAACCACTCCCCTCTCTTGCAGGGAGGAGAGTCTTCATTGAAGCAATGAAGAGCATGACTGCCACTTTTCCCAGCATTGCTCTAGTAATAGGATTACTATCCCTCAGTATCAAACAGTGCTGATAATTTGCACCCTTGTGTTCTTTGATCATTTGATGTGAGCAAGATTGATTATTCCTCCTTGTAAGCTGGCTTGTTTGCGAATCAACCTTTCGCAGTGTAAATATACAAAGTATGACTTATTTTAAGCAGTAGTGAAGAAGCTATGGATGCCCTCCCAGATGGAAAATGAATTGGAGTGTCTGGATTCAAATGACAATTGTGTCCTGGATATGCAACCTTATCCATAAAGCATTGCAATCCAGTTTCAGTTTCATGCTAAATTTCTGTGGGACCAAACTCATAGGGCAATATTTTGTGACCTTCCTCAGTTACAAAATATTTTTTGCAGTGGTACATAAGTTAATCAAGTTCAACACTCTAACCGCCACAATATATACAATACTTTATTATAATAAAGACAATTGCACTCCTTGTTGAGTAAATCAGGACCTGCAAATCATTATGGTGAGGTTCTCCAAGGAGTGATTCTCTGAAGCACTACAGAAATTTAAATATCTTCTCCATGGACCTACTGTCTGAAACACTACAGACAGCAGAGAAGCTATTCCTCCTTCTCATAAAATATATATCTTCTACTAAAGACTACACTCCAACATCTAGGCATTTCCTTCTTCCAGAGAATGATGAGGTAAGTAGCATCCGATTTGTTCAACCTCAGAGGAGACTAGGCCTTGAAAGGTGCTCATATTTCAGTTCTGAAAAGACCTCAAAATGTTTAATACAGCAGTAAGGTTAATGCAGACATGATTCTTCTATGATAAAAATAGATTACATTTATAGGTAAGAGAAGATAATAATGTGGTGTTTCAAAATTCTGGAGATTGGGTTTAAACCCTCAGCTCTTATCAAAGCAACATAATATTTCATTGGTTGTTCTTATAAGCTACAGTTAGCGGTTGATTCTACTTTCTCATTATTGATTCAGCATGTAACCAAGATGGGTCTTTCTTGAGATGCTCTCTATGTTCCCTTGCAACTCTAAAATTCTATGAGTACTGGGGAGAATCAATAGTATCAGTTGAATGTTTACTGCTGGCATCACCCATTACATCATATTGAGATAGGAGGGAAACCCCACATACAATTGCCTGCATATTCCCTCTACCAACAGACTTTCATTAACTCTGTTCTAATCTTAGGTGCCACAACACTTCTGCTGGTGTTGCTGAAACAAAATAACAGAGCTACTTTTCTAGAACTTTTTAAAAGAAATATTTCAAAGAATTAAGATGGCCAACCAGTCTACAGTGACAGAATTTCTTCTGATGGGGTTTTCCAGTGACCCAGAAGAACAATTTTTTTACTTTGTGATATTTCTCTCCATTTATTTAATAGCCTTAGTGGGGAATTTTCTCATCATCATTGCTGTTGCCCTAAACCACAAGCTACACACTCCTATGTACTTCTTTTTGGTCAACCTATCATTATCAGACATTTGCTACATCTCTACCACAATCCCCAAATCCATAGCTGCTTCTTTGTTGGGTTACAAAAAGATTTCTTTTGCTGGCTGTGTCGCACAGGTTTTCTTAGTTTTCACTTTTGGAGGTTCTGAGCTTGCCTTGCTCACTATCATGGCATATGATCGCTATGCTGCAATCTGCCATCCTCTACAGTATGAACTAATCATGAACAGGGATGCCTGCATCCAAATGGCAGCTGCTTCCTGGATAAGTAACCTAATTCATTCATCAGTACATACCATTATCACTTTCAGGCTAGATTTCTGTGGGTCCAATATTATTGGGCAGTATTTCTGTGATATCCCTCAGTTGCTAAAGATTTCTTGTACTGACACAAAGGTTAATCAAATTTTGATTTTTGCCATAGGGATTACAGTAGCTTCATTTTGTGGAGGGTTCATCTTTGTTTCCTATGGCTACATCTTCTCTGCAGTGTTGAGAATCCCTTCTTTTCAAGGTAGATATAAAGTTTTCTCTACCTGCATCCCCCACCTGACTGTCTTTTCTTTATTTATTAGCACAGATTTGTTTTCATATATGAGTCCTAAAGCACTTTCTTCTACAACGATGGATTTGCTCTCTGCTGTATTGTATACGGTTTTGCCACCACTACTGAATCCCATTATTTATAGCTTTAGGAACAAAGACATCCAAGAGGCTGTACTGAAAATACCGAAAAGAATTAGAAGTCTCCTAGCATGATTGCTCAAGTTGTGTCTCATACACATCACATTTCCTGTGCATTGTATAAGAATGCAAATGTCCGTGAAAAATTGCATAAAAATGCATTATATGGCATAACAGTGCATTGCAAATAGATGGGTATTGGGCAAATTTGCATATAAAATGTGCATATTAGAATCGTTTCACACAGAACAACTTTCATTTTCATTAGGACTTTAAGGACTTTAGGAGTTTTCATTAGGACTTTAAAAAACAAAGAAGCATGCCAATATGTAAATGTGAGGAACTGGATCTAATGCTGATCCTCCCAACCTGCTAAATTGGGTTTCTTTTTGAGTGGAGGTGTTAGAAGGGAGGAAGGGTAGAATAAGTCTTTGCACAAGTAATGAGGTCTCTAAACCACATTTGCATCTGATACTGATACCCTCAGTTTCTCGCATAACTGTGGCCCCTCCTCCTTCACTGTTTTAGAGGTGTGTTATTCTAGCACCATACTGACTAGGTCATGCATATACAGGTGCAGGATGCATTTTACTGGTATTTCTTTTTTAACTGAGCTATGTCAGCTCAGTTCAGTGAGACTCAGAATACTCAGTGTGTTGATTATTAGTAGTATTAATTGTTGTTTTGAGTCTGTGTAACACACAAACACACAGACAAGTTTTCTTTGGTTGCTTTATGTTGGCTTGAGGTTTAGGTGCAAGTTGTGATGGTCTTTTACCTAGGATTCTTGGTACAGGATTCCTGTGTAGGTTCATTTTGTGGAGGGTTCATCTTTGTTTCCTATGGCTACATCTTCTCTGCTGTGCTGAGAATCCCTTCTGACATGACAGCAAAAAATGGGAATTTATTTAAAGACAACTATGAAAAATGCTGGGCTGAAGTGAAAAAAGATTTAGAAATTTGGTCAAATTTGAAGCGTTCACTGCTGGGCCGTATTGCTGCGGTAAAAATGAATGTATTGCCTAGAATGTTGTTTTTGTTTCAAACACTGCAAATTGTGGACAAAATGGACTGTTTCAAGAGGTGGCAGAGAGATATTTCTAAATTTGTCTGGCAGGGCAAGAAGCCTAGAATAAAATTTAAAATATTAACAGATGCAAAGGAACGAGGTGGATTTGCCCTGCCAGACTTTAAACTTTACTATGAATCAGCAGCTTTTTGCTGGTTGAAAGAATGGTTGCTTCTTGAAAACACTGACATTTTGGATCTAGAAGGGTTCAGCAATGTATTTGGATGACATGCATATCTGTGGTATGATAAGGTCAAAGCACATAAAGCATTTAAAAATCACATTGTCAGGAAAGCATTGTTTAATGTCTGGATAAGATACAAGGACTTATTGGAAAATAAAACTCCAAGGTGGCTGTCACCGATGGAAGCAAAAGCTCTGAAAAAGCTCAATATGGAGGCCAAATGGCCGAAATATTGGGAAATTCTGGAACAAGACGGAGATAGACTGAAATTGCAGAGTTTTGAGAAATTAAAAAACAAAGTGCGAGATTGGCTTCATTATTATCAGATAATGGAGGCATATAAGTTGGATAAGAAAATTGGTTTCCAGGTGGAAAAATCAAAATTAGAAACAGAACTATTAGAACCCAAAACTAAGATTTTGTCAAAGATGTATAACTTGCTGTTGAAATGGAATACTCAGGATGAAATGGTGAAATCTGCTATGATTAAATGGGCACAAGATGTTGGCCATAACATAATGATGGCTGACTGGGAACAGTTATGGACCACAGGTATGAAGTTTACGGCATGAAATGCCTTAAGAGAGAATATTATGAAAATGATATACAGGTGGTACATGACTCCAGTCAAGCTTGCAAAAATTTATCATTTCCCAATAACAAATGTTGGAAATGTAAAGAAATAGAAGGTACATTCTTTCACCTTTGGTGGACGTGCCCAAGGATTAAGGCTTTCTGGGAAATGATATACAATGAACTGAAAAAAGTATTTAAATATACCTTCTTGAAAAAAACAGAGGCCTTTCTCCTGGGCATAGTCGGTCAATTGGTGCCAAAGAAGGATAGAACTGTTTTCATGTATGCCACAACAGCAGCAAGAATACTCATTGCAAAGTATTGGAAGACACAAGATCTACCCACTCTGGAAGAATGGCAGATGAAGTTGATGGACTATATGGAACTGGCAGAAATGACTGGCAGAATCCGAGACCAGGGAGAAGAGTCGGTGGAAGAAGATTGGAAGAAGTTCAAAGATTATCTACAGAAATATTGTAAAATTAATGAATGTTAGAATGATGTTGGATAGAAATTAAGTGGTTTCCAGCTGTAATGCTTTAAGGGAATATGAAAAATGGGTTGTTAAGAGGTAAAAATCTAACGTTACTATTTTAAGACCAAAGATTAGGACAAATAAAGAAGGTAAGGATTTGCTGAACCAGCAAACTGAACTGGAATACAAAAAAGGGAGGTATGAGGAGGTCCGGGAAACAAGCTAAGGAAAAATAAGCAATGGAAAAATTGAGTGGTTTTTAATCATTTTTATTTTGTTTGTTTTTTTCATTCTTTATTGTAATATTTTAAAAATCTTAATAAATATCTTATAAAAAAAAAAGAGAATCCCTTCTGTTCAAGGCAGATATAAAGTTTTCTCTACCTGCATCCCCCACCTGACTGTCTTTATTTATGAGCACAGCTGTGTTTTAATACATGAGACCTAAAACGCTTTCTTCCACAACAATGGATTTGCTCTCTGCTGTATTGTAAAATGTTTTGCCACCACTACTGAATCCCGTTATTTATAGCTTTAGGAACAAAGTGTTAGATGTCAGAACACACAAATTTAGCAATAGTCACTTATTGTGTAGGTTGAAGGATTGCTGTTCTTCATTGCTTCCACACACAATAAATGGATTATATTTTATCATATTTAAGCCTACAGCTAGATATATTGCTCATTTGCAAGGAATATCTTTTAAAATTCAATTGCTTCCTGTTTGAGAGTCACTGCTTTTAATGATAATTCCTGTAAATTCTACTGGGAATATGCTATAGTGTGGACTAAATATTCATCTAATAAAGCTAGATAGATACATGATAGATAGATGGATGGATAGATAGATTAGAATGAAGCTCTTGCTCAGATTATGTACTTCCCCTGGCTTCTGCAATAAAGTTTCCAAATGCAATAATGCTCACAAAACTAACATTTTGGGTGGAAATTCATGGCAAATAATTGAAAAATGTGTATTTTACAGGAGCAAGGTGTATAGAAAGTGTACAAAATGGATAAAATTTAGATGCAAATATTTTGTTCATTTTTTTTTTAAAAAGGTCAGCACAAAAAGAGGATGGACTTGACTAAACGGTGCATTTAGTTTTAAAAATGAAAACTGAAATGACTGCACCCTCACTCATTTAAAGGTAAAAGTAATAATACTCAACCAAAAGTACATATTTTTCACAAGTTTTATATTTGCTTTCATTTTTCACCTCCATTTTTATGCACTCTATCTAAAATTTGGCAAGTATGATGCCCTGAGGAAGAACACCTGAAAAGGCCATTTGTATGGAAAACACTTAGGTTGCAGGCAGCAGAAAACATGATAGCTCTCCACAAATACCAAACAAAGAGCTAATACATTTTAGAAAATCACCTAAGCTGTTTTTGAAAAGTGGAAAAGTAGATATTTCCTAATGGCTGCCCTAGTCCTTTTTAGGATATGCCACTAACTTTTTCAGACACAAAATTTTGCATACTGAAGTAATGACCGCTCACCGCATAAAACGGGGGGCGACCTTTGCGTGGACGCACGCAGCCCCTGGATCTGGAGCGGCTCCATTCAGCATAGGCTTGGCTTTGCCTCCCCCAGGTGGGATCCCGGGAGGTCTCCGCCTACCCCAGTCAGTTGTCCAATCCCACCTGGGGAAGTGTTGCCAATGAGATCAGGCCAGGTGGGGGAGGGATTACCTGCCCACACAATAGAGGGAGGATCTTACCTGGGAATCCTCACTTGGCTCCAGAGCTTCTCCCACCCTACCCACCCTCAGTTAATGCCTTATTTTGCAGGTTAACTTTTCTTCACAGGTATGCGGGCGCTGCTACGTTAAGGTCGCTGTCAAAGGGCCGAAAAGGAATTTCCCTGCATTGGCAGGTTTCGCCTTTCCCGTAGCAAAACGTCACAACTTTGGCAGTATCAGGCCTTGGGCGGAATCCTTTTGTCCATCTTCCTCTTGCAGCGGCGATACCAGGGTTCCCCGTTAAAGGGGTTTCTGAAGGGAGGCTTTGACCGTACGCCGAAAGGTCGTCATTGCTCTCCCCTGCGTCGGTGGCGTAACGGGGGCAGCTATCTCTGCTTGAACATATGTTCTCCAGAGCTGGCCCATCCCCCACACAAACACTGGATAACCCTGATGCTCCCTAGGTCCCCGGCTGGGGACTGGGGAGGGAGAACACCCAATGCCTGAGCCAAGGTCTACCCACATTTGAAATTTAATAAAGTTGTGGCCAATTTAATCCCATAGCACGTTGTCTTGAGCCGTTATTCCACATGACGGGGGGGCGCTCGGGACCTGGGGGACTCCACCTGTCCACGCAAAGAGTGGCAACAAGAGATGAAATTCTAGGCTCTATTATCAAAGAAAATATTAATAATAAAACATTGTAAGGTAAATAGCATAGCTACCAACCATCTGATTTTCACCAGGTTTTGCTCTATTTTGCTTCTGAAAAGGAATTCAAGATGCAAACTAAAATTGAATTCTATTCCACAGAGAACAAATCTTTAACAGTGTTTATACTCCTATTGACTGTACAATCACTGTGTTTCCAGTGTTAGTTTTTAATTCAGGTACTTACAATGTTATCCAAAATGCATATGTATTCTGTACCTCTGAAATAAAATATGGGTGTTCAACGTGCATGCCACCCAAATTTCTGAGTGGTGCGAGATTCCAAGGGTTCCAGTTGGTTACCCAGGGTTTTTGTTTCCTCTGAAATGAGTAGAGACTGTGGTGTCTTTAGGATATATGGTTTATTTACACATATATACAACCTGAGCCTACATTGTAAGGTTCACAGCATGAACACCTCAAGACACTCTTGCTTCTCTCATAGCTGCAGCTTAGAATATAAACAGCAACTGTCTGTGTTTCCAGCTTCCCAGCCTGCTGCTTCCAGTTTTTAGCTCACATCACTCCACCCTCAACTCTTGCCATTGTATTTCTAACTACCAGAAAGTTGAGGAAGGGGCCCTACCCATTTGTTGACTGGCAGAGAGCCACTCCCTTTTTGTTACCTTACTCCTAGCATGATTGCTCATGTTGTGTCTCACATACATCACAATTTTTTGTGCAAATTTCTAGTGCCCACTCATCTCCTGCTGTTCAGAATGTGTTCTGTTAAACATTGAATAAAAATGCATCTAACATTAAAATTAGTAATAGTGCTTCGTGAAACGATGTTTATTGGGTCTATGGCAACTGTAGACTGGATAGCTCAGTGGCTGGAGGAGGGTGCTGATAATGCCAAGTTTGCAGGTTCTATTCCCACAGGGGCAGCAGCATATCCCTACATTGTAAGGGGTTCAACCAGAAGATTAGCTCATGTAGACTGGCTAGCTCAGTGGTTAGAACAGTGTGCTGATAATGCCAAGTTTGCAGGTTCATCTCCTGTTTGGGGCAACAACATAATCCCACGCTGCAGGGGGTTGGACTAGATGAACTTCATGTGGCTGGGATAGTTCAGTGGTTAGAGTGTGATGCTGATAATACCAAGGTGTGGGCTTCCTGATCCCCATATGGGACAACTCCATACTTCTGAGTTACATGCCTTCTTACGCACACTGTGTTTGTTCCCATGGTCTGTAATCAATGATGGCCTAATGAATTATTATGCCTAACACCCATTATGAGTTGCTATGAATGATGGCATGTTTGGCCAATTGATGAATGAAGCTTTAGACCATGTTTATCGTTAAGAACTTAATTTGTTCTGGAGGTCTGTTCTTAACCTGAAACTGTTCTTAACCTGAGGTACCACTTTAGCTAATGGGGCCTCCTGCTGCCACTGCACTGCCACCGCTGGATTTCTGTTCTCATCCTGAGGTAAAGTTCTTAACCCACAGTACTACTTCCGGGTTAGCGGAGTGTGTAACCTGAGGTGTCTGTAACCCGAGGTGTCGGTAACCCGGGGTACCACAGTATCTCACTGGGCATCCTTTACCTAAAATAAATTAAATTCAAATGACAACACTTTTGTTTGTAATTTTATATCCAAACTCGAATTTATTTATATATGCAACAACAGCAACTAGAACTTTATATGCAGAGAAGTGGAAAGAAGAAGGATTACCAAGGAAGGAGGATTGGCTTATGAAACTGATAGACTATGATGAAATGGTGAAATTAACTGCCAGACTAAGATGACAGAATGACGAAGTGTTTAAGGACGAATGGACACCAATCATGGATTATTTGTCTATGCTGGTAAATGTTTTTGGATATTTTTGGACACACACACACACATGTACGTAAGCTCTAATGCACATGATGGAAGAGCACACTTCATATGAAGGGGTACTTAAGGTCCTTCAGCTGAACACGTATGGAAGCTCAAAATAGAAGTTCATGATCAGAAAGAATTTGCCTGTGATGCAAACAAATGAGGTGGGAGTGCAATTAAAAAAGTTGTGATGTTATACCAAATTTAGGTATGCACTACAATCCCTAGATACTAGAAGTCAATTTTTGGAGCCTTTTTCATCTTTCTTTTATCTCCTGCTGTTTTCTTTCCTATAGTTCAGAATCCATGGAAAAACAAAAGGGCTAAATAAATTCTTGGTATAAAATCTTGTGCCTCATTGTGCATCCTTCAGCAAACATGAATTAATTCAAATTGCACCAACATGGGAAAAGCACAAACTTCTCTAGAGCAAGGATTCTCAAGAGATTTTGCAATGGTGTCTTTGTTATCATATCTGAAAACAACTAAATCCGTGAACTGGGGAATGTAACATGCTGATATTATATCATGTCAGGGAACTGCCATCGGACGGAAGGGAGGTGAAAGGGCTCACACAGGTTGGGAGAGACGCAGCAGCTGAAGAGGGAACCAACAGGGAGGTGAAAGGGCTCACACAGGTTGGGAGAGACGCAGCAGCTGAAGAGGGAACCAGCAGGGGGAGAGGAGCTGAGCTGGAGGGATGGCTCAGAGACACTTCCAGCGAAAACAGTGGGGAAGTTTCAGGACCTCCTGTAAGAACACCCACTCCTCGCCGGAAACTGTCACGCAGAGATTCCAGAAGACGGGTTTCCGTTAAGGAGCTTTTATGTTGGAAGCGATTACGAAAGCAACCACTGTCGGAATCTGCTAGTGACTAGAGTAGCCATGTCTGAGGGGCCCGTCACAGACAGAGGTTTGTGGACTTGAACAAACTCTGAGGGGATACGATTTTACGCACAAGCAGCTCATCATCCCATCACAGCATTCTGACAGTCTTTGAAAGCAGCTTGTGCAGGAGAAGGCATCATGAGCAACCCAGCCGGAACCGGAGAAGCAGGAGCTGGAGCGGGTCCAAGCCTGGAAGAAAGGTACCAGATGTTGGAGGTCCAGCTAGCGATGCAGACGGCGAGGCTTGAGGAGAGGAGGGCTCAGGATGCAGACAAAAGGGGGAAAGCCACCCAGTTTGCCAGAAAGGTACCAGGATTGGTGCAGAAGTTTGGGGGGGAGCCCAAAAACTATCATGGTTTTCGGACAGAAATGCAATATGCCCTCAATCTGCAGTTTGATGAATTCCCTGATGAGGAATCACGAGTGGCTTTCGTGATTGAGCATCTTGAAAAGGGGGCGAGAGACTGGGTTAGACCCCTGATGGCAGCTAATAGTGACGTCTTAAAGGACACGATGAAGTTCTTTCGCGCCATGGATCTGATGTTTTCCAGCGATATTGAAAAGGGAGTGGTGCGCAGACAGTTAATGGGTTGCAAACAGGGGAGCCGATCTGTCCGTGAGTACTGGACTGAGTTCACCATGCTTGTTCACAGATTGGGGTGGGACTTATCGGCGGAACCCATTCAGATGCTCTTTGAAGAAGGGCTTTCTTCGGCTGTGAAAGACGAACTTTCCCGGGCGCCCAGGGCGGAGTCTATGGACCAGCTGACCAAATCAGCGCTGGCCATAGGAGCGCGCCAGGAGGCGAGAGCATTGGAGAGGCGGGAAGGGAAAGGGGAACGTTGGAAGGAGTTCCGCATTCCAGACATTCCAGAGCCAACTTTCCCACCGGCAGAGCCGATGGAAATCGGAACAGCGCGCGCGCGCGCAGTTTCAAAGCCCAGTGAGGGGGCAAAGAAGGAGGGAAAAGGCGCCCGGAAATGCTATCTCTGCCAACAGCCAGGTCACTTTGCCAGAGTCTGCCCCCAGAGGAAAGAATGGCAAGGGATGGTAGGAGCTGTGGATGGAAGAGAGGAAAATATACCGGAGCAAGTAAAGCCAACGCCTGGCTGCCACTGTCAGGGCACAGCAGCCAGGCCAAAGAGCAGTGAGAGTGCCCACGCCAGAACCTCCTAAACCCGCCCTAGTGATAGAAGTGACGCTAGAGCTGCCAAACGGACACCCTCTAAAGATAAAGGCGCTGTTGGACTCAGGCAGCTCCTGCAATTTCATGAGCAAAGAGTTTGCAGCTGAACACCAGATACAGACAATCCTTTAAGCAGCCCCCTGCAGGTGACCACTATCGATGGCAGGGAGCTGTTGGGTGGAGAAGTCAGCTTGCAGACCGTCCCAATGATAATGAAGGTAGCAAGGCACACCGAACTGATAGCTTTTAATGTGGCCACCTTGGGAGGAGCTCCCATTATATTGGGGATGAGCTGGCTAGCGTTACATGATCCGCTGGTGGGCTGGCATCAGAGAGTGGTTTCTTTTGGTTCAGCACATTGCTTAGAACACTGCAAAGAGGGAAAGGGTTTGGCAGGGGTCCAAGCCACCCTAGCAGGGACTGAAGTAACAGAGAACGTGAAGGTACCACGACAATATGCAGATCTCCGTGACGTCTTCAGCGAAAGGGAAGCTGACCAACTACCCCCGCATAGACCCTTTGACTGTCAAATCAACTTACTCCCTGGAGCACAGCTCCCTGTAGGCAAGCTGTACGCCATGTCAGACAGAGAGATGCAGGAGTTAAGAGAGTTCATTGACAAGAACCTGAAGAGAGGGTTCATCAGAGAGTCCAGGGCGGTGGGGGCAGCCCAGTGTTTTTTGTGGATAAGAAAAACACGAACAAGCCGAGGCTGGTGTGTGACTTCAGGGCCTTAAATGCAGTGTCAGAACCAGTAGCCTTCCCTATGCCCAGGATTGACGACATTTTGACAAGGGTGCGGAAGGGAAAGATTTTCACAAAGCTGGACCTAAGGGGGGCGTACAACCTGGTACGAATAAGGAAGGGGGATGAATGGAAAACCACTATGTTCACCCCTTTAGGGGCATTTGAATATTTGGTTATGCCCTTCGGCCTACAAGCAGGCTCCGCAACATTTCAATCGTTTATGAACCACGTCCTGGGGCCTTTGCTTTACAAGAATTGTGTGGCCTTTTTAGACGACGTGTTGGTGTATTCTGAGAATGAGGAGCAGCATGTGAGAGACGTCAGAGAAGTGTTGAGCAGGCTGCAAGCCAACCAGCTGTGGGTGAAACTGGAGAAGTGTCAGTTTCATACCAAGGAGGTGGAATTCCTGGGGTATCGCCTGTCAGACAAAGGATTGGCCATGGATCCCGGCAAGGTCCAGGCGGTGCTGGAATGGAAAACACCCAAAACAAAGAAGGATGTGCAGAGGTTCCTAGGATTTGGGAACTTCTATCGTAAGTTCATCCGAAACTTTGCCCACCTGACGGCGCCCATTACGGACTGTCTCAGCAGTAAGAAGAAGTTCGTGTGGACTGAGGAGGCGGAGCGAGCATTTGAGGAACTAAAAAGGGCCTTCGCCTCGGAACAACAACTCCTGCATGTGGATTTACAAAACCGATGAGAGTGGAAACTGACGCATCAGACAGAGCGATTGGGGCGGTGCTTCTGCAGCCAGGCAAGAAGGGGTCAGAGTGGAGACCGTGTGCCTTTTTTTTCGCGAAAGCTGAACAAATCCGAGAGGAACTACACGGTGTATGACCGAGAATTACTAGCCATTCATGAGGCGTTCCGGAGATGGAGGCACCTGCTAATTGGCGCACAACATAAGGTGCAAGTGTGCACTGACCACAAGAACCTAGAGTATTGGAGGACGGCACGAGTGCTCAACCAACGGCAAGTGAGATGGGCCCAGGAGTTCTCCAAATTTAACTTTGAGATTAGTTACGTGCCAGGCCCAGAGAACATTAGGGCGGACGCTCTCTCACGCAAACCTGAATATTTGGAAGGGGAGGGGGCACCCGAAGAGAGACATGTCATTCCAGAAGACCGCTGGGTGTGTGGGGCGGCATTGGTGGGACAAAGAGAACTGGTAGAGGAAACAGAGAATGATGAATACGCCCAGAATAAGCTCAGAGGTCTTAGGGGTGATGGAGAGGAACCAGGGGGTTTTGAGGAAAGAAATGGAGCTTTGTATTACAAAGGGGCACTGTATATCCCTGAAGGAGAGTTAAGGGGAGGGTACTCAAGCAGTTGCACGACAGCCCTACGGCGGGGCATTTTGGACAACACAAAACCATGTGGTTGGTCACCAGGGAATTTTGGTGGCCTAAGGTGAGGGAAGATGTACGTGAGTATGTAAGAGGGTGCGAGCAATGCCAGCGAGCCAAAGGGGAAAGGCGGGCGCCGGCGGGGCTATTAGAACCCTTACCAACCCCAGAACGACCTTGGGAGGCAGTGTCGATAGATTTTATGACTGATCTGCCGAAGTCCAAAGGGAAAACAGCCATCATGGTGGTGGTAGACCTACTAACAAAGATGTGCCACTTTGTAGCTTGCTCGCATGCAGTCACGGCGGAAGAGACAGCGAAGTTATTTGTAGAAAACATTTTTAGGTTGCACGGGGTGCCATTGAGGGTGGTCTCAGACCGAGGAAAACAATTTACTTCCAGGTTCTGGAGGAAGCTCATGAGCTTACTGCAGGTGGAGGTCAATTTTTCGACTGCCCGGCACCCTGAAACCAACGGGCAGGCGGAAAGAGCAAACGGTGTCCTCCAGCAATACCTGAGGTGTTATGTCAATGACAGAGAGAATGACTGGGTAGAAAAGTTGGCGCTGGCGGAATTTGCCTACAACAATGCCGAGAATGTGTCCACAGGGATGAGCCCCTTCTTGGCTAATTATGGGTGTCATCCCAGGGCTTTCCCAGGGCGAGAGGGGGAGAGATGGAGCGTCCCGGCAGCCGAGCATTTTGTGGAAGAAATGGAAGCAATCCATCGTCAGCTCCAACTCAACTTAGAAAGGGCGAAGGAAGAATACAAGAGGCAGGCAGACAAGAACCGAAGGGAAGGTGAAACCATAAGGGTGGGAGATAGGGTGTGGCTGTCAACCCAAGGGCTGCCGTTCAAAGGAGGTTGTAAGAAATTAAGACCCAGGAGGTTGGGTCCCTTTGAGGTCATTCAACAGGTCAACCCAGTGGCTTTCAGGCTCCGGTTACCCAACCACATGAAACTGCACCCAGTATTTCACAGGTCGTTACTGTCACCGTACGAAGGGGGACGAGAAGGGCTGGCCCCTCGGGGACCGGTCGTAGAAGAAAGAGAATGCAGCAGCCATGTGGCAGAAATCCTCGACGCCAGGTGGAAGGGGGATCAGGTGGAGTATTTGGTAGCGTGGGAAGGAGACAGAAAACACTTGGGTAATGGCTGAAGATATCAATGACGAGGTATTGATAGAAACGTTCCATCAAAGGTTCCCAAGGAAACCTCAGCCTGTGGAGAGGTTCCGGAGGGAATACTTTGGGACCACTGATGAAGGGGAGGAGTTGGAAGGATTCCCGGACTCGGAAGGGGAAGGGGAGATGGACTCTGAGGAGGAGGTGTACTTCGAGACCAGGAACCGCAACAGGTTGAGAGAAGTGTTCGAGACATCGGAAGATGAAGGAAGTTCATTCCGGGTTTTGCCTCCTCACCGCCCGTAGAGGAGGGGGCGAGAGGGGGTGAAGGGGGCCCTGGAGGGGAGGTGGATGTCAGGGAACTGCCATCGGACGGAAGGGAGGTGAAAGGGCTCACACAGGTTGGGAGAGACGCAGCAGCTGAAGAGGGAACCAACAGGGAGGTGAAAGGGCTCACACAGGTTGGGAGAGACGCAGCAGCTGAAGAGGGAACCAGCAGGGGGAGAGGAGCTGAGCTGGAGGGATGGCTCAGAGACACTTCCAGCGAAAACAGTGGGGAAGTTTCAGGACCTCCTGTAAGAACACCCACTCCTCGCCGGAAACTGTCACGCAGAGATTCCAGAAGACGGGTTTCCGTTAAGGAGCTTTTATGTTGGAAGCGATTACGAAAGCAACCACTGTCGGAATCTGCTAGTGACTAGAGTAGCCATGTCTGAGGGGCTCCGTCACAGACAGAGGTTTGTGGACTTGAACAAACTCTGAGGGGATACGATTTTACGCACAAGCAGCTCATCATCCCATCACATATCAATGTGCATGTTTTAGATTTCTGTTGTCCATGAAACATTGCCATTTCTTTTACTTTACACATTGTGTACATTTCAGTGGTAGAAATGAATGAATGAGATAACCTTAGCATACAAGGATTGGGTGAAAATACACATATTGAGGAGTATCTGGGGCAGAACTGGATTGGCTAGTTGAGTCTTTCTCCTCCTCAGCTCCCTTTGTGTCCTTCGCTTTCTAGACTAATCCAACAGCTGCTTATGTATGTTAAAGGAACTAGTAGGGAAATGGACAACATTTGTTTTGCACAGCATCATGGGACTGGTATGTTCTCCCAAGAGAGATCTGACAATTTTTTATTCCAATATACTTGAAGAAAGCTTCCATTTCCATGTTTTACATTACTAAAGTATTTAGCAAGAAATAGAAAAGCCTCACTGAGAATACACATAATGCAATCTTTCCAAATTTCAACACTTTTGGGTTTTTTTGTTTTATATGAAATTTCATATCAGCTTTCTAGAATGGTGGTTCCTTTACCCCATCTAGTTAATTCAGTATGATCTCTCTCCCCCCCCCAATGTTACATGTTTCATAAAATGGTTTGTGTACATTTGATGGCAAAATGGAAGATTTCTGTAAAAACTGCACCATTTACATCATGTGGCACATGGCTTAGAAAGTATATGTATGTACCCAGTCTTTGAGGGTGGATAAATCATATTAGCTGAAAATATGTGAGTGTACATACTATCCCCATTAGGCTTCATGTCATATCAGGATGAAAGAATACATCAACAATTGATAGTGTGCATACTTGGTTGTTGATTTGGATAGATGTGTAGTTGTGCACTAGAGCAATAACTATGTGATCTTTTTTTAAAAAAAGAAAGTCCAAAAATTTATAAGCGCCACTAACTTAAAATTATTTAACTTCTATTTGCAGAATGACGGAAATGAGAGAAATGGCTAACCAATCTACTCCAACAGAGTTCCTTCTCATGGGGTTTTCTGAAACCCGTGATTTGCAGATTTTGCATTCTGCAATGTTTCTCTTCATTTACTTAACAGCTTTAGTGGGAAATTCTCTCATCATCACAGCTGTGGCCCTAGACCACCACCTTCACAGCCCGATGTACTTCTTTTTGATCAACCTGTCATTGTTTGATGTGTGCTCCATCTCCACCACTGTGCCCAAATCCATCGTCATTTCATTGACAAACAACAACATGATTTCTTTTGCTGGATGTGTCACACAGGTCTTCTTAGTGGTCACATTTGTTGGTGGGGAGCTTGCCTTGCTCACTGTTATGGCTTATGACCGTTATGTAGCAATCTGTCGTCCACTGCAATATACCTTAATCATGAATCAGGATGCCTGTATCCAATTGGCAGCTGCTTGCTGGATAGGCAGCCTGATCCATGCAGTACTGGAAACAAGTTTTACTTTCATACTAAATTTCTGTGGAACCAATATGATTGGGCAATATTTTTGTGACATTCCTCAATTGCAAAAGATTTCTTGCAGTGATACAAAAGTGAATCAAATTCTAATTCTTGTCCTTGGTTTTTTTCTGGACTCTTTCTTTTTTACCTTCATCTTTACTTCCTATGGCTACATATTTTCTGCTGTGCTGAGGATCCCATCTGTACAAGGCAGATATAAAGCTTTTTCTACCTGTACTCCTCACCTGACTATCTTTTCTTTATTCATCATCACAGCTGTGTTTTCATACATGAGACCAAAAGCACTTTCATCCCCCACAGTGGACTTGGTTTCTGCTGTATTATATACAGTTTTACCACCGGTTTTTAATCCCATTATTTATAGCCTCAGGAACAAGGACATCCAGCTGGCAGTCTGGAAAATACCCAGAAAATTAAAACAGCTTGTAGCATGATTAATCACTTCCAAATTCTTTTTTAAAAAATGTTAAACATGGAAACACTAAATGAGAATCTGAGGTCTGCCACGTAAACTTAGATATACCCCTTTATATTTTGAAATAGGACCTTCCTCAATATTACGGTAACTATTCATCTTTTGTCATTTCCATAGATTTCCATAGATTTTATATGTGTAAGTTCTATTAATTATTTATTTATGGGCCACTATTACAACTTTGAGAGAATTCTAGAGCAATAACTTGCTGTTCTTTAGGTAAAGTTTAGACGCTTAACAGGGGTTCTGTATTTAAACAAAAAGACAAGAGTTTTTAGGAGTCTATCCTCGCAGGAGAGCAACAAATACCATAGTTACCTGGGGAGAGGGATTGATTTTTAAACAATTCATGTATTGTCGAGGTGGGATAAGATGCAACAGAAGCATCCCTGGTTTGCACTCCTCCCCCCAACCACCCACATACATGCACCATGAATTAACACTCGAACAAGGTTTATTGGAAAATGAAGAAAAATAGGTGTGATACAGAATATTTGATTTAGCAAAACAAAATGAAAAACTACACAGCAAAAGACAATTCGGTTTTTAATCCCATATCAGATCTTCTTTCAGCTCCATCAGCTTTATTGGTCACCATTTACAATCAATGGAAAAATAAATTCCTCAAGTAGGACACTGGACTTCACTGGGCATCCTGTACCATAAATGAATAAAATTCAAAGGGGAAATCTATGGCTTATGGTTTAATAACTAAACCTACACAACATAACAGAAACTTCCCCAGAGCAATGATTCCCAGAAGATTTTACAAGGGGCTTTTTTTTTTTCAGGAGAAGAAACAAATCTCTGAACTAAAGGTGTATTCTGATGTATTATAGTGATATTTTCGTGATATGTGTATGTTTTAGATTCTTCTTGACCATTGATAATGTGACGCCATCTTTCTCCCTTCATACAGTGTGCACCTTTGAATTGTATAAATAAATAAATGACTGAGATAACCACTAGCTTATTAAAGTTCCCAAATCATATTAACCATTTACCCATAACTGCTTTACCTTGAGTCTTTTTTAAGAGTGTGATGGCAAATCCCCCATTCCCCTCCTTTCACATACATTGAGGAGGAACTGGGGCAGAAGAGAGCTAGCTAGGATGAAGGCCATTCATCCTCTTCCTCCTCCCATCCCATCCATCTTCCTCTGTGTGCTTTGCTTTCTGGTGACAGAATTGCATCCATACCTCACCAAGGCAATGGACAGCATGATGGATACTTTTCTCAGTATGGTTACAGAACAAAGCAAAATTGATCCACACAATTAAGATGGCGCTCCCGCGAAAACAAGATGGCGCTCCCGCCAATAGACCCGGCACCCCTACAAGAAGATGCAAAATGACAGTCGGGTCACTTTGTGGGGGGGGGCAGGTTTCCAGCCCAGAGCAATTCCCCACAGACCGTAAACAGAATAAAAGGCAACCACTCAAAGAGGGGACTCTCTGCACTAAAAATGAAATCAACTTGAATTTCTAAGCCCCAATGCTGCAGCCGCAGCCAGAGAATGAGCGAAGCCATCTGGCTGAACAGAGGCAGCGGCAAGCTCAGAGCTCAAGGGGCCGAAGCCCCATGAGGCAGAAAGCCTCCCAAGGGGAAAAGGGAAAGGCAAGGCAAGGAGGGGAAAAATGAGCAAAGGAGAAACTGGGGGAAAAGGGGGAATAAAAAGAAACAGATTCAACAAGCAGATCATCAAAGTAGATTGTGCTCTCTCTCGGCTCGCAGCGGACACGTTGCTGGTGTTCCGATGCACGTACCAAAAGAGGAAGCTCTGGGTCATGTGCATAGGTATATATAGGTCCCTTGATCCGTTTAGCCTGTATCCCATTGGCCTGATTGAACCCTGCATCAAAGGACCTACCACTTGGGTGTTGTGCTGTCCAAACATACCCACCCACAATACAGGGTTAGGTTGCCAGGTCCCACCGCAACACATACCCTCTTTAAGGGAGGACCCGATTTACATTCCATTGTCCTCCAGCCGAAACAGTTCTTGCCAGGAATCACACAGCAATCTGGCACAGTCCAGAACACACTCTGAGGACAGTTCAACACAGTCCAGGGACATCGTCTGGGCCCATAACCATTTTGAGCATTAAATGCCCATTTGCAAATAGAGAACTCAGTCCTTTACAGCAGAATGCAGCAGAAGCAACTGTGGTTGGAATAGTAACATCAAAGGTTTTATTTATAAAGCAAATAACAAAACAACAAGACGACTCTCACATCCATCTTCCTCAGCAGAGGAGCACAGCAGAGATAATCAACATTCCACGGTGCAAATATACAAAATATGACATATTTTAGGCAGTAGTGAAGAAGTTATGGGTGCCCTCCCAGATGGAAAATTAATCGGAGTGTCTGGCTCAAATGTTAATTGCTTCCTGGATATGCAATCCAGTTTTAGTTTCATGCTAAATTTTTGTGGGATCGAAGTCATAGGACAATATTTTTGTGACCTTCCTCAGTTAAAAAAGATTTTTTGCAGTGATACATAGGTTAATCAAGTTCAACACTCTAACCGCCACAATATATACAATACTTTATTATAATAAAGACAATTGCACTCCTTGTTGAGTAAATCAGGACCTGCAAATCATTATGGTGAGGTTCTCCAAGGAGTGATTCTCTGAAGCACTACAGAAATTTAAATATCTTCTCCATGGACCTACTGTCTGAAACACTACAGACAGCAGAGAAGCTATTCCTCCTTCTCATAAAATATATATCTTCTACTAAAGACTACACTCCAACATCTAGGCATTTCCTTCTTCCAGAGAATGATGAGGTAAGTAGCATCCGATTTGTTCAACCTCAGAGGAGACTAGGCCTTGAAAGGTGCTCATATTTCAGTTCTGAAAAGACCTCAAAATGTTTAATACAGCAGTAAGGTTAATGCAGACATGATTCTTCTATGATAAAAATAGATTACATTTATAGGTAAGAGAAGATAATAATGTGGTGTTTCAAAATTCTGGAGATTGGGTTTAAACCCTCAGCTCTTATCAAAGCAACATAATATTTCATTGGTTGTTCTTATAAGCTACAGTTAGCGGTTGATTCTACTTTCTCATTATTGATTCAGCATGTAACCAAGATGGGTCTTTCTTGAGATGCTCTCTATGTTCCCTTGCAACTCTAAAATTCTATGAGTACTGGGGAGAATCAATAGTATCAGTTGAATGTCTACTGCTGGCATCACCCATTACCTCATATTGGGTTAGGGAGCAAACCCCACATACAATTGCCTGCATGTTTCCTCATCCAACAGACTTTCATTAAATCCTTTCTAATTTTAGGTGTTACAAACACCTCTGCTGGTGCTGCTAAAACACAATAACAGAGCTACTCTTCAAGAAATTGTTTTAAGAAATACTAAAGAATTAAGATGGCCAACCAATCTACAGTGACAGAATTTCTTCTGATGGGGTTTTCCAGTAATCGAGAAGAACAATTGTTTTACTTTGTGATATTTCTCTCCATTTATTTAACAGCCTTAGTGGGAATTTCCTAATCACTATTGCTGTTGCCCTGAACCACAAACTGCACACTCCTATGTACTTCTTTCTGGTCAACCTATCATTATCAGACATTTGCTACATCTCAGCCACTATCCCCAAATCCATAGCTGCTTCTTTGTCAGATGACAAAAGGATTTCTTTTGCTGGCTGTGTCGCACAGGTTTTCTTAGTTTTCACTTTTGCAGGTTCTGAGCTTGCCTTGCTCACTATCATGGCTTATGATCGCTATGTTGCAATCTGCCATCCTTTACAGTATGAGCTAATCATGAACTGGGATGCCTGCATCCAAACGGCAGCTGCTTCCTGGATCAGCAGCTCAATCCATTCATCATTACATACCATTATCACTTTCAGGCTACATTTCTGTGGGTCTAATATTATTGGGCAGTATTTCTGTGATGTCCCTCAGTTGCTTAAGATTTCTTGTACTGACCCAAAGGTTAACCAAATTTTGATCTTTGCCATTGGGTTTATTGTAGATTCATTTTGTGGAGGGTTCATCTTTATTTCCTATGGCTATATCTTCTCTGCTGTGCTGAGAATCCCTTCTGTTCAGGGCAGATATAAAGCTTTCTCTACCTGCATCCCCCACCTGATTGTCTTTTCTTTATTTATGAGCACAGCTGTGTTTTCATACATGAGACCTAAAGCACTTTCTTCTACAACAATGGATTTGCTCTCTGCTTTATTGTATAATGTTTTGCCACCACTAATGAATCCGGTTATTTATAGCTTTAGGAACAAAGACATCCAAGAGGCTGTACTGAAAATACCGAAAAGAATTAGAAGTCTCCTAGCATGATTGCTCAAGTTGTGTCTCAGACACATCACATTTCCTGTGCATTGTATAAGAATGCAAATGTCCGTGAAAAATTGCATAAAAATGCATTATATTGCATAACAGTGCATTGCAAATAGATGGGTATTGGGCAAATTTGCATATAAAATGTGCATATTAGAATCATTTCACACAGAACAACTTTCATTTTCATTAGGACTTTAAGGACTTTAGGAGTTTTCATTAGGACTTAAAAAACAAAGAAGCATGCCAATATGTAAATGTGAGGAACTGGATCTAATGCTGATCCTCCCAACCTGCTAAATTGGGTTTCTTTTTGAGTGGAGGTGTCAGAAGGGAGGAAGGGTAGAATAAGTCTTTGCACAAGTAATGAGGGCTCTATTCTAGCACCATACTGACTAGGTCATGCATATACAGGTGCAGGATGCATTTTACTGGTATTTCTTTTTTAAAAGAGCTATGTCAGCACAGTTCAGTGAGACTCAGAATACTCAATGTGTTGATTATTAGTAGTATTAATTGTTGTTTTGAGTCTGTGTAACACACAAACACACAGACAAGTTTTCTTTGGTTGCTTTATGTTGGCTTGAGGTTTAGGTGCAAGTTGTGATGGTCTTTTACCTAGGATTCTTGGTACAGGATTCCTGTGTAGGTTCATTTTGTGGAGGGTTCATCTTTGTTTCCTATGGCTACATCTTCTCTGCTGTGCTGAGAATCCCTTCTGACATGACAGCAAAAAATGGGAATTTATTTAAAGACAACTATGAAAAATGCTGGGCTGAAGTGAAAAAAGATTTAGAAATTTGGTCAAATTTGAAGCGTTCACTGCTGGGCCGTATTGCTGCGGTAAAAATGAATGTATTGCCTAGAATGTTGTTTTTGTTTCAAACACTGCAAATTGTGGACAAAATGGACTGTTTCAAGAGGTGGCAGAGAGATATTTCTAAATTTGTCTGGCAGGGCAAGAAGCCTAGAATAAAATTTAAAATATTAACAGATGCAAAGGAAAGAGGTGGATTTGCCCTGCCAGACTTTAAACTTTACTATGAATCAGCAGCTTTTTGCTGGTTGAAGGAATGGTTGCTTCTTGAAAACACTGACATTTTGGATCTAGAAGGGTTCAACAATGTATTTGGATGGCATGCATATC